CTCTACTCACTCACTACAAAAATAATTCATAATTATGTTGTATTTTGTAATAAATAAATTTTATTTTACTGACAGACTGCCTCATTGGCCGAGTGGTCGCAAGTGCGACTGCGGCAGGGGTATCAGGTTCGATTCTCGGGTCGGGCAAAGTATTACTGGGTTTTTTTAAAACCCCAGTAGTAGCACGGAGTCTGGAATTGTGCCCGGTATATGGCAATAGGTTCACCCCCTATTACATGGACCTCATAACATAAATTGTGAAAAATGGGTGTTACGTTGTACAGTGGCATTAAGTGCCGTAATGTGCACCTCTGCCTTCCCCTTCTGGGGAGACAGGCATGATGTTATGTAATATATAGAAAATAGTGTAGTTTAAGGATACTTCTATTGGTGTCTTATTAAAGAAATTTTAGTTTACTTGATCAACTTCAACAGCCTGTGATTGTCCATTGCTAGACTATGGGTCTCCTCTTTTAACCTCTTGAGTGCACCGATATAAGACACAATAGAAAATACATTGTTTCTCTTCTGGATCCGTGTTATAGACACACAATAGGTTAAATTTAAAAGGAGTCAATTCAAATTTTGTTCTTTTTTATCTATTCCAATTTTTTTTATTGTTTATTTCTCAGTATATGGCGCTTCAGATATCAACAATATATCAGTTTCACTTCACATACACAACCGTCACCGGTGTAGAAATCATAACCATATACATATTTTAAAATAATAGTTAATGTAGAATATAAGCTAAATTGTCCTGTCAATTTGGTCATTTGCAGATTTTTCCTGTATTGAGGAAAAAATATAAAACCTACTTTTGTTGGTGTTCTGATACAATTTGATAATAAATGAAATGAAACAATACATCTAACGCCTGTGGTACAGATTTAAATCTATAACGCATTGTATTGTAACATTGTAATGTACATAGAATTTTTAAATAGGTAATCAGATTTTTTTTAAACAGTAACAAATGGACTTGTTTTGTCATTCTTCTCCATTCGAATCATCACCATAGCGCCATACCACCACTAGAGCTCCTAGCTTCACTGACGGACAGACTGACAGACTATTATTTATTCTGTATTTGTTGACATTTCATAATTACCAAATTATGATTTAATTGAAATAAATGCTTTGACTTTGAATAAGCTTAATTTAAGTACATGTGAAAAAAACGAAAATAAATACTTTTTTTGTAACTAAAATAGGAATGTATTAAATCTAGTACCTACTATAAGAGGTAACATAGCTTCACGCCTGTAAATTCGCAAAGGAGGTGACAGAAACACTTGTTTATGCTTACTGATCTCTATTTTCGGCAGTTACGTTATTAGCCCCATGATAAAAGGGGTTGCCTAAATATCATATATCTCAAGTGTCAAGTGATTGCAAGAACCTACAACTGCTATTTAAATTTTAGGATCACATCGAATGGGAAAAAAATATTTTCGATTCCAATTTCCAATTCGAGACTGCCTCGTTGGCCGAGTGGTCGCAAGTGCGATTGCCGGACAAAGGGTTTCGGGTTCGATTCCCGGGTCGGGTAAAGTATTACTGAGTTTTTAAAAATTCTCAGTAGTAGCACGGAGTCTGGAATTGTGCCCGGTATATGGCAATAGGCTCACCCCGTATTAAATGGGACTCATAACATGAGTAGTGAAAAGTGGTCGTTACATTGTACAGTGGCATAATGTGCACCGCTGCCTATCCCTTCGGGGAAAAAAGGAGTGATGTTACGATTCCAATTTCGAAATCCTAAAAACACGAAGTCTGAAACAGTGACAAAAGTGTACGTACTTACCTACCTATAATAATAATAACAATTTCTCTCATAAACTTGAACCTGTTAAACTTCGATCTTCAACTCCAACCCGACTACTAAAGAGGTCCCATCCTCAGGGGGTCTCGAAGGACTGACAATTTCTACGACAGACACATACCCACTACACGTACAACGATTCTCGGATGAAACAAATCTTTGTGTGGTTCACAAATTGTGGTTTCGGGTCTGTGTGCCATGTATATGTGAACTCGTAGGTACGTTTGTAAACGCACCCACGATACAGAAGAAAAACTTAGTATGGGGCAACGTAAAAAAAACAAATATTGGATAAGGGCCTCGAATCATTCTGTGCTCAAGGACCGCAGCGTAGACTAAGACGGCCCTGGGTGCTTACTCTTGAAACCAATCCCAATGTCAATGCAATTACAATCCTATAAAATCTTAATAATTATTCAACGTCAAAACTACAACCCCCATCGTAGCCGTTAAAATAGCATTCAGAGTACGAAATATAAAGCCAAACTCGATACCATTTAGTTCTTTTAATATCCACGCAATACGGATGCAATGGGCGCTGGTGTTGCAATTCAAGAGTATTCGTACTCTTGAAGTACACTTTAACAATACCAATGTCGATCGATCGGAATTGGATTCAAGATTAAACCCCTTGGAAATAACGTCACAAGCTAAGTCATTATTCGTCAAATCTACTTTCATACCTACATTGACACCTACTACAAACTATTGATAGTACAATACATGCACATGTTTCACACAAATATTATGTACGTACCTACTATTTTAAACTATATCATCATCTTATTTATTTATTTATGTACACACAGAATAGACAGTACAAATCATAGGTCCGATATATTAAATTTTGTAATTTAACTTAATACTTTTACTAAATTCAAACTTAGTCATTAAATTAGAATAAGCAAAATATGATTATCAATTTTTAGTATATACAATTAATATTAACTATAACTAAATGAAAATATATACAACTTAAAATATAAATAACTATGAACTAAAATATGAATAAGCAATGTTTGTATTTGTATTTGTATTTTTATAGAAATTAACTATTATGTCTTGTTGTGATAGAGCGGAGTTTCCTAACACAGGCATATCTTGCTTAAAAGGAGGCTCCAATCACAATTTATAGGTTCCGTAATCTGTTTTTACAAATAAACGATTTTTTTTCTTTTATACAACTTCCCACCCTTACAACGAAATAGTTACACGCAAGATTACATCAAATAGGGGCAAAACCCTTACAGTTTTAAATGCGCTTCAGCACCCCTCTATTTAGTCCATGGTTCAAAGCACACGTTAAGCACACCTCGACTGTATAGTCAAGTAGTCGACTACACTCGTCACTCGGTCATTCCTCTATTTCCCTAGGTTAGTTTAAAAATAGGACCCTTTTTCATCCCTCTGTGTTTCATATGGGGTGAATAGGTTGCTGTTAGACATAAATCAAGAGACTGCTGCTACTATTGACATACATACATAAAATAATTATAATATACCTAACGTTAGTTGTATACTTCTCCCGCCTAGGTGAAGCGGGAGGGAGTGTCACTCTTACTGACTAAAAACCACTCCTTTCCTACTCCTGCCCTTCGGGCGGGAGCCCCGGCAACTCGTTAAGTCCTCCGCGACTCCGCATGCCGATGCCCTTTTGGACCCCATCCGTGGTGGTCTGATGGCTCTTTGAGGCGCATGCGGAACGCGACGCACCATACGCTCGAGATCTTCTACAGGCCTGAGCACTTAATATCTGAATATTAAGTGCAATTTCTTTTTTTTTGGATTAACTATATTCTGTATTTTACAAAAAAAAAACACTGGGGCAGCGACGCGACGTCTGATGCATGAAAACTACAGTTGCAGTCATATTGTTCTACACTCTGTACTACAATTAACCCCTTAGAATTCCTAACACCAAAAACAAATTAGGCTCGCTAGTCTTAAAGTCACCTAGCTAGTGCAGTTCCTACTAGAGCGGACCTCAACTAAAAGGGAGACGTAACGAACAGAGTGAACCAGCGATGTTGTTATACAATTTACTTACCTTCAGGTTATTTTCTTTTTCGATCTCTTTGACTGGATTTTGGTGTTATATTGTTCTCACAAAATGGAACCAACAAAACTATGTAATTGTGAACCTGATTGAAGAGTAATCTATGGAGTTCCTTGCTCGGTCTTCTCCATGGGAATCTACACTTTGGAATGAGCAAATAGCTTCACATTCCAATTTTTGTTGACGTTCAAAAGTGTGTTCCTGGTCTAATTGAAATAAATGATTTAGACTTAATATAATTTTCCTGATTCACACAACTCCTCCCTGTTAGCTTTAGTCCAAGTCCAAGTGGTTCTTTAATACACATCTCCGCTTCTTTCCACTTATCTCCGCTTTCCACTTGCTACCAACTAAACCACGAGATCCGTGACACATTAATATTGTGCAGTATGCAGTACATTCATTACACTGCAATTGACCGCATCCAGGCCTAAGCATCGTAATGGTCAATTTCCGTGAGTTTTCACTGACTCACTATCTGGCGACATCAGTTGCATACTGATACCACCCTTGTTACAAAGAATTAAGATCGATTTTTGGGATGTGCGTAGAAGTTGTTAAAACGATAAATGAAGAATGTTTGTTAATTAGAATTTAACTGCACAACAAATTACTGTTAACTCTAGTTAATGCAGATAGAAGTTTACTGACAGCTGCTTTTCGCCAGGAAGAAGAGAATGAAATCAAGATGATCATGTTTGTCAGTTTTTTTGTAGCACAGCGGCATTCCATACGTTCCCACTTATTCTACTAAGCAGTTCCACGTTAACCCACTTTAGAGTAACCAATCGGCAGCGCCCATATACATCTGCATAACTGAAGGAGGTACAAGTGCGTTGCCAGTCTTTTGGGGATTCCAGGACTAGGGACAGACTCCACCACTCTCACATGGCAAAACACAACACATACGCACTTACGACCGTTTTAGACTACACTGTGTGCCCAAGGGCCACCACAATAATTCGGGGTCCTAGCGGGGAATGTTTCTTTTCCTTTAACGTACTGGAGAAAATCAATGGGCAGTGAATGCGTTAACGTTGCCCAGACTAGGATCTTAAATACTTCTCCTGTATCGTGGGTGCAATTACAAACACACAAGTTCACATGCACATGACATCCAGGCCCGAAACAACAATTTATGGATTACACAAAGATTTGCTCCGTGTTGGGAATCGAATTCGCTAAACGTTCACATGCATGTGCATTAATAGGATGTAAAATGTAATAGATAATCATTGTTATAATATCTGTACGTATTACCATAGTAGTAATAATACGACAACGCACCTGTGACGCCTCTGGTGTTCCGGGTGTCCATGGGTGGCGCTGATTGCTTACCATCAGGTGATCCGTCTGCTCATTTGCCTCCTATTGCATAAAAGTAATAATAATGAAACGGTTAGATATTGTTAGCGAACTTAGTCACATTTTAATCCTTTATCCTTAAGTTTTTGATATTTTTAGTTCAAAAATAGATTGTTTTTACCTGTTGTTTAGGCAAGCGTTTAAAAGTATGTGTTTTTACAATACGATACATTCTCATGCTGTGGATGGATTGATAGATAAATTGTTTTTTTTTATCTTATGGTGCCACTTCATTCCCAAAGTTTGCCGTCAGCTTTTTGAATCGATCCTTGACATTGGCTTTTGGTTTTTCTCTCATTGGTTTTTTATCATAGAAAACAATGGTTGCGTAGTTTTTCGTCGTGTGAGTGAGGTTACCGGAGCCCCAATTAACTGAGGAATAACTTTGAATATTTGACAAATCTTCCATACTAAAAACTGTCCAACGTCAATCTTATTCTACAGTCAAGTATTATGATAACTGATGATTGAAAAATCGGCTCCAAAAATGATATATTTTTACAAATTATCAAAAACGACTTTATAGCTGTTTATTAAACTACTCATTAACCATCTCTTTAATAAAAGTTAGGACTTAGCGTGGCGAAGCATCTGAACTAACTCCTTACTGTAAAATGTCGTTAAATATCACCTATCTTGTTTAAGGGTTCCTTAAAATTTAGGACATTGTTGAAAACGAGAATAAGTGTAATTATTATTATTATGGTATCCTCACAGACGAAGCTGTAGGTGGGAAACTAGTCTTTATTTTATCTTGGACTACATATATCAATTAATTGAACACAATGAGGAATATGCAATTTAGTATTATAAACTGTTTTGACTTCTCGAGTTTAACAATGTAATATTGTTGCAGTGCCTATTTGGTGCGGGTGCGAGCACAGGTCATGTGCCGCGACGAGGGCACCGGGGGCTGGGTGGCGCTCGGCGGCGGCGGGCTCGCTGATGTTATGGTCGGGAAGCGAGCCCGCGCCCATAGGGCCTCAGGTGAGAACAACCACTACTAAATCGTCCGTGTACACCAGTAATGGTCAAACATGTTGATATTATGCACACTGCTCATCTTTACAACCTTATAATATGCATTCTATAATGTATTTTTATTTCAGACGTGTTGTTGCAAATAAATAATCTTTGTCTTTGCAACATGTTGAGCTAACACAACTATTCCTTCTCTGTGTGTAAAGAGGTCTTTTTTCGTAGGTATTCAATCTATTACTTAAGATAATAATGGACATAAATAAAATAAATATTAACTATTACTAAATGAAAATATATACAACTAAATATAAATAACTGTGAACTAAAATATTGCCATTATTATTGCGGCAATGCTGCCAGTCTTTTGGGCACCATACCTCACGATAGCGATGAGAAAATTTTTTTGTTATGCATTATGATAGCATTTTTTTAAGGTCTTTTCTTAGCAATCTTAATACCTTAGGCTATTCTGTACCCGGAGCAAGTTTCTTTTAGAGGACCCGGTGCCCCTTACAGATTTTGAAGGTGGCCACCGGGGTAGCTTTAGTGATATAAAAATCACACACTCCATAGTCTTTCTCCCCAAAAACCTGGGCACCTTTTGAAGGTTTCCCCCGTCATCAAAAAAAAGGCTATTCTGTAACTGTATTCGAAAGATCGATGTGAACTCGACCGCGGTCCGCCATGCCATTAGTTGTGAGAATAATCTCGACCAATGACAGGTGAGAATGCGATCGAGCTTCCAATAGACAAATACAGAAGAGCCTAGCTGTAGCAGTTTCGCAGTTATAGGCTGATGATGACAAATGACGAGAGAAGTGGAAACTTCTTTATTTTCCATGACGATGGCAAAAACAGCACACGGCCCACCTGATGGTAAGCGGTTACCGTGGCCTATGAACGGTTGCAACACTTGGGGCATTACATGCGCCTCGCCGACCCTTGAAAAACCTATTTACTCCCTTCTTGAAGAACCCCATGATGTTCCACAATCGGAGGGTCCGTGGGAGGAAATTCCTCAGAAACCGAACTGGGCGCTTACTCTTGAAACCAATCTCAATGTCAATGCAATTTCAATCCAATAAAATCTCAATAATTATTCAATGTCAACACTATACAACCCCAATCGTAGCTGTCAAAATAGCATTTAGAGTAAGGAATATAAAGCCGTACTCAATACCATTTAGTTCATTCAATATCCACGCAAGACAAATGCAATGGGCGCTAGTGTTGTAACTCAAAGTGTACGAAATTTCACAATACCAATGTCGATCAATCGGAATTGGATTCAAGAGTAAGCCCCCTGTACGGGACCATTTGAGCTCCAAATTGAGAACCCCTTCTTTTTTTTTTAAATCGATTACTAACTCGGACATTGAACTCCAAAACAAAGAATCAGAAACCCTCCTACTATTAACCTACTTAAAAACTTAATGCTAATTGCACATATCTACTTATGCAACTGACTAATGATTCACTCTAATGAATGAGTCTCCTTATAAGTTCAAACTGGCCCATTGTTAAACCTACTGCGTAAAAAGTGGTATTGTGTGTTGATTATAGGTGACTACAACTTAAATGTTATGATGTTAGGTGTAATACAATGTGGGTACTCATCTGTCTCATAAACGGAAAACGTGAATAACTTCATGAATGGGTGATGACCGTCTTTTGGTGTCTTAGTAGGAGCCAAAACTACGCAGAAAAATACGCAATTCTTCTGTTTTTCACTCTCCAATTTTACTTTAAATCCAATGGGATTCTCATTCTCTTTGCGCCAGTGAACTGTTCAGGCACGAAAAGGATTCCCACCACCGCGTGATACACCGCATGCGTTCTGTGCAGCCGTATGCATTGCCCTCGTCGCGGAGAACCTAACGGGTAACCGGGGCTCCGGCTCGACGTGCAGGAGAAGGAACGGGGTGGTTTTTAGTCAGTAAGAGTCTGACACTCCCTTCCGCCTCACCCAGGCGGGAGCAGTCATTCGATGATTTTCCCCCCTTAAAAAAAAATGTTTTGCCCTCAAAGGCTAGGAACTAATGTCCTGTTCACACTACACTAGTATTTTAGTCGAATTGTAGCTGTCTTTCGCTTCAGAGACCTTAATACGAGTTTGTTTTACGTTTAAACTGTCAAACACCAAGCGGTGACCGGTGACCGCAACCTATTGTTCTATAATTGTGTCTATAATGACGGTACTCGACGAGTTAAAGTATTCGATACGTATAGTACGATAGTACGCGTTCGGCGCTCTGATTGATTGGTTCATTGGCGCCGGCCAATCAGAGTGCCGAACGCGTACTCGTATCGAATACTTTAAACGTAAATGAAACTCGTACTAAGGCGTCAGTTTTGAAAGAGAAGCGTGAGAGAGCAAGTAAGTACTCGCTATTAGACGAAAATACTTGCATAGTTGGCACTACGTCTACGTACAAGTCGTAGACCGCAGCATCGCTTACTGTAAACGAGCAGACGGACCACCTGAGTAAGCAATCGGCGCCGCCCATGGACACCTGGAACACTAAGGTGTTACAAGTGCGTTACCGGCCTTATTAAGAATTGAGACTGAGGGGCGCGGGGGGGGGGTGGATAAGTAGGCGTCCAGTAACCTCACTTACGACGAGACACAAGCACAGCGTTGTTTCACGTCGGTTTTCTGCTCGGCCGTGGTATCACTCCGGTCGAGCCGGCTCATTCGTGCCGAAGCATGGCTTTCCCATACTTAAAAATTTCAAATTCATATTTTCAATTAATTCAATAAATTTATTTTCATTCAAACCTTCAAGTAAAGAGCGTATTCCTTTTTAAAAGGCCGGCAACGCACCTGTGACTCCTCTGGTGTTGCGGGCGTCCATGGGCGGCGCTGATCGCTTACCATCAGGTGATGCGTCTGCTCGTTTGCCTCCTATTCCATAAATAATCTATTAATTTAATGTATTTCCAGCTGGGGGCGAGAGTAACGGTGAGATGGCAGTGCCCGGAACATCGACATCCACAGTAGTCGCGGCGATCGCACCTACGCACGAATACTTTATACATGGGAAGCGCATCAGTGATGGCTTGGTAAGATTACTACATTGTAACTCTTCAATTAATATTACTGCCACTGCGGCCAAGTATTCGCTAGTTTGACTACCGGGCAAGGGGTGACGGGCTCGATTCACGGCAAAGTATAACAGGGTTTTTAAAAAAAATCTCAGTAGTAGCACGGAGTCTGGAACTGTGCCCGGTATATGGCAATAGACTCACCCCCTATTACATGGGACTCATAACATAAATAGTGAAAAGTGGGTATTACATTGTACAGTCACATTAAGTGCTATAATGTTCACATGTGCCTACCCCTTTGGGGATAAAAGGCGTAAATGTTATATTACGTCTTAAACTGTCAAACACCAAGCGGTCACCGGTGACCGCAACCTATTGTTCTATAATTGTGTCTATATTGACGGTACTCGACGAGTTAATAACCATATATTTTTCTGAAAATTGCAGGAAGTCCTAGAATGCACTATAAAGAAAGACTTCCAGTATAACAAGGTGATGCCCACGTTCCACCACTGGGTGACGGACGAGAAGCGCTTCGGTTTGACCTTCCAGACTGCTGCTGATGCCAGGGCCTTCGACAAGGGCGTGAGGACTGCTATCGAAGAACTGCTCGACGGTAGGCGGTAGTGTTTTGTAAATGTAGTCTTGTTATAAAACTGAAGATTGGTGACAGAATAGAATTATAGAACCAGTATTAAAAATCTTTATTAATTGGGTACTTTGCTTAATCAATAATAAATTATTTCAACTGTTCAATACAATCAAATATTAAATAATAATCACACTTTGTTGTCGTGGTGGCCCGGAGGTTTAAGACGCCAGCTTCTCATGCATGAGAGTACGGGTTCGAAACTTACCAACGGCAAGTTCCAATGTGACTTTTTCCGAGTTATATGTACTTCCTAAGATTGTCTAGACATCTAGACACCACTGACAAACGGTGAAGGAAAACATCGTGAGGAAACCTGGGCTTATAATTTCTAATTATAAATCTGTAATCGCCAACCCGCATTGAGCAAGCGTGGTGATTAATGATCACACGGGTGAGAAGAGATTTTGCTCAGCAGTGGGTATTTATAGGCTGTTGATGAATCACACTTTAATTAATTGATTTTATGATCAACCTAATTTTAGTAATTTGCCAGCAAATTAAAAAAAATAGGTATACTGTTTGACGCTCAAAAAACGTGACGTCACAATACATAATCTCGTACAAAATTCATAGAAAACTGTCGTTTTTGACAGTTCGAAAAAAGTATTGAATTTGGCTAGTTACCAAGTACCCAATTATTAAGTTGCATTGGTGAAATTAACAATGTGTCACTAACTGCAGTCTTGTTTTATAATAAGACGAGAATGGTTTATTCTTCAGGAAAAACAAAATGTACATACTAATTGTATTAAAAGCAATATTTGTTTCCCTTGGTCATAATAGGTAGGGTATATAATTTGTATTTCGACTGTGAAAATCCCATTAACAATTACAATGTAAGTAGAAGTTATGTATGGATGTATGTACAAGAAATAAAGTTTCATTATTCTGAATATCATCCCTGAAGAATAAACCTCGAGCTTTATATTTGCTTTGGCTACGCCGAAAGTACATACGTATATAAAATATACATATCTGCTTATCAATACTATGTATTCTATTTACTAATATTTATTGTTTAAATACTTATAATAAAAATTATTTATTTATACTCATGGAAATTAACTTATACGAGAATTATACACCGTAAAATCTATTTCGTTTTCCTCCCGAAGTAAATACAATAAAATATTAAAAGAATAATCACACTTCCATCAATTGATTTACTTATAACTTAATTTTAGCATTTTTCCAGCAATTTTTTAAGAAATAAGTATACCGTTTGACAATAAAAAACGTGACGTCACAATTCACAATCTCATACAAAAGTCATAGAAAACTGTCGTTTTTGACAGTTCGAAAAAAATTATTGAATTTGACTAGTTGGCAACCAATTTCAAAAAGCAAACTTCGAAAGCGCATACGAACTCATAGTACATTATCAAAACACCTTCTTGGAGAGGTATTTCTCGTCGGGTGGCACGTGCGGTGCGAATAGTACCCACAAATTTACGTCTAGCTTCATGTGCGTATATCCATAAAAAAATTAACTAAACAAAATGACATTTTTATTTTTTGTTTTTACTTTATATACATCGAAAGTACTCCTTATAGCAAGTTCATTTGCCGCGGGACGCAAACGGAATAGATTTCACGGTGTATTTTTGAAGCTAATATTTAAAATTATTTAAAAACCGTACTACAATTTAATAATCTAATATTCAAATAAGATTAGTATTGATCTATCTTTAAATTGAATCAGTTCTGCAAATGTAATATTTCTATTTAACTATTTATAATGTGTACTGCATAACGCTGTTCGCAATATTATATTTAAGTATACATAACAAGGACAAAAACGCGCATAAACAAATAAAAATACAAGAAATTATAATATACATTGAGTATAGGGTAGACGACTAATTTTTATTTTAATGTCCGTCTGGTAGATTATTTAAAAACATTAGACACGTATTTTTTATTTTCTTACGGAAATAAATAGTTTCGAAGATATATTGATTTGAAATGTCGCGTGACGTCACTTCTCAGTACATTTTATACTAAGAAATGACGTTTTAGCCCCCACTCCTAAACATTGATTCGTTTTATCTAAGTATTGTTTTATTATACGACAAAATAAAAAAATACGTGTCTAATATTTTTTAATTACCTAACTTACGGACTAATTATATTTTTAATTTTCATACCCTGTCATCATCCCTATTGAATAAACTGTAACAATAGGGTAGATGCCTAATTTTTATTTTAATGTCCGTCTGGTATATTATTTTAAATTATTAGACACGTATTTTTATTGTCTTATAGAAAAGAATACTTTTAAATACTGTTTACAATAAAAATATATTTCAAAATATAAAAATAGGAGCCGACCAGTAGCGGTAGCACGGTCCAAGCTACCGATGGTTAGGGCTCCAGAGAGAAACCTCACGATACGTGCCGTTTCAAGGAGAACTGCCTTCTGTATCAGGCCCTTATTATTACGTATTTGAATAGTATTGCATGTATTTGTCCTTGCTAGTCCGCTATATATCCTGTCGCTCGATGTTTAATATATAATGTGGAACTAATTTATCTAATGTGCTTTCTTTTGCCTCCTCTACCGTATACTGGATTCCTACACGGTGAGTTTTGATATATATTTATACAAGATATATTCATTTTTTAAGCTGTTAGATAGAGGTTAATATTGGGAAGACAATAAAAAAATAGTCAGTCTATGACTGTACTTTTATTATAATAACCATCGTGAGATATACTAAATGAACTAAACATCGCGGGTTACTCATGTGCATATACTGAGAAAAGCTCGAAAGTAGGCTGCGCGATGTCGCCGCGACTGCTCGCGCTACTCATGAGGAAGAGCCCCTCTGTGGCTCGAAACTAGTTGAGTTTTGTTTTTGTAATAACTATCAGTAGGCTGCGCGATATTGCCGCGACCGCGCACGCTGCTTATGAGGAAGAACCATTCTGTGGTTCGAAACTAGTTAAACTTTTCTCAGTACGTTTTTCATTCACGTGAGTAACCCGCTACTTTAGTTAATTTAGTATTGCTTTTGTCAATATCCTGCGGTTTTTAATGCAATTTCAGTCAAATGACTCGTGAAGTAGACACTTATCGTGTAGAAATAAGGAAGCTACAGAGTATAATGTACATATATCTATTTAGATAATTAAATACAAATGAATTTAAAAATTATTTTTAAAATTTTGATTTCACGGTTAGTGCGGTGGCTGGGCAACCGGCTGCTGCATAACGTATAGCGGATTCGAGTCCCGCACCGGTGTTTGTGTGATCTACAAATTGTTGTTCCGGATCTAGGTGTGATTTGTATCAATTAATTCTTTTTTTTACAACATAATATTAAAACTGACTGCCTCGTTGGCCGAGTGGTCGCAAGTGCGATTGCTGGGCAAGAGGTCTCGGTTTCGAATACCGGGTCGGGCAAAGTATTACTGGGTTTTGAAAAAAAATCTCAGTAGTAGCACGGAGTCTGGAATTGTGCCCGGTATATGGCAATAGGCTCACATGGGACTCATGACATAAATAGTGAAAAGTGGGTGTTACATTGTACAATAGCATAATGTGCACCTATGCCTACCCCTTCCCGAGCGTACGGCGCGTCGCGTTCCGCGCGCGCCTCAAAGAGCCATCGGACCACCACAGACGGGGCCCAATAGGGCCGATGCCGATTCGGAGTCGCGGAGAACCTAACGGGTAACCGGGGCTCCGGCTCGACGTGCAGGAGAAGGAACGGGGTGGTTTTTAGTCAGTAAGAGTCTGACACTCCCTTCCGCCTCACCCAGGCGGGAGCAGTCATTCGATGATTTTCTTAAAAAAAAAAATGCATACCCCTTTGGAGATAAAAAGGCGTAATGTTATGTTGTTATAATATTTAAAAAAAAAACAATTATCTGAGAGTCAATACGCGTTTCACACTATGATTTTCTCCTTTTTCCTGTATCGTGTGTGCATTTACAAAAATACAAGTTCACATACACATGACACACAGACCCGGAACAACAATCTGTGGATCACACAAAGAGTTGCTCCGTGCGGGAATCGAAACCCGCTGTCCGTTGCGCGGCCTTCGCTCCAGCCACCGCGCCAACTGTACAGTACAGTAAACAAAGTGATTATATTTTAATGCTTATAGAAGATCCCAGTTTTCTCTAAAGGTTTTAAACTGTCAAACACCAAGCGGTCACCGGTGACCGCAACCTATTGTTCTATAATTGTGTCTACAAAACCGATACTCGACGAGTTAATAGTATGTAATAGTAATCATGTATGTAATATTGCGATAGGTTTGGGTGGCGCCTGGCCTTCACTTCATGCGTACAAAAAACACAACCCAGCGCCGAAAGAAGAGGACGAGGAATCCAATATCTTCGAGGTAAGTTCTATTATTATTTACTACATATTAATAATAAGGTTATTCACCTTTCAACGACTGCCTCGTTGGCCGAGTAGCTGCTGGCAAGAGGTCTTGGGTTAGATTCCTAGGACTGGCAAAGTATTACTGGGTTTTAAAAAAGTCTCAGTAGGTAGTAACACGGAGTAAAATTGTGCCCGGTATATGGCAATAGGCTCACCCCCTATTACATGGGACTCATAACATAAATAGTGAAAAGTGGGTGTTACATTGTACAGTGGCATGAAGTGCCATAATGTGCACGTCTGTCTACCCCTTCGGGCATAAAAAGGCGTGATGTTATGATGTTCCAAGCAAATGACCTTGAAGTCAGTGTAGGAGGCGAGTACAGTGGCGTGTGGCGGGTTGGTGTTGAGCCAGGCGGCGAGCGCGGCCTGGTATATGGCAATAGGCTCACCCCCTATTACATGGGACTCATAACATAAATAGTGAAAAGTGGGTGTTACATTGTACAGTGGCATTAAGTGCTGTAATGTTCACCTTTGCCTACACCTTCGGGGATAGAAGGCGTGATGACGATGATGGTAGAAGAAGTTTTTTCATGATTTTTAAACTTATATGTTTACTAGCTTTTACCCACGGCTTCGCTCGCGTCACAAAAGGATAAAAAGTAGCCTATATGACATATACCAATACACACAGCGCCATCTATACCAATACTTTTGTTTTCCCTCGAGAGTATCAAATTTTTCGGGGATAAAAAGTACCCTATTATTTAATCCGGACTGCTAACTATACGTCTTCAAAAATTCAAAGCAATTGGTTTAGTAGTTACGGCGTGAAAGCGGAACAAACAAATGAACAAACTCACTTTCCGATTTATAATATTAGTAAGGATTGTCAATATAAGTAAAGTGTGCTACTTTTTGGTTGTAAGAACCAATAAAAGGTTTGAATAAAATGTATTTGCAATGTATAGTCAACTGAGAACCGTAGCGCAGAGTAGGCACTCGCCAATAATCAAAAGATTTGTACAAAGGTGATCGGTACTAACAATAGTTTGTAAGTGTAGAAATTAGAAAATTGAACCCTAGTTTATTAACTAAATAGTATGTATATGATAAAACCTTAGTTCATAGATAGACCTTTATATTATTGTCTATGATTCCGGTCTTCGAGTGTTTTTGTTTTATGTATTGGTCTGAATAAAACTATATTTCTAAAGTTAAAACTGTTTATCCTCATTAAAATTAACAGTAAGTAATGTAATTCTAACATTAGATGGTCTTTGTCTGAAATAAATGCCTTATTAATATGAATGGTTGTGCAGTGCCTGAACCTGCCGTGCTCGTCCCGCTCGAGCTCGGAGAACTCGTCGGCGTCCCGGCGCGCGCGGCCGCCCGACGACATCACGCAGACTCCCATCCTGTCCGCCATCACGCTGCCCCGACACCCGCTCGCAGGTACTACGAGTCGCGGGCTCCACTCCCGCGCGGAACTACTCTTTGTGTGATCCACAGATTGTTGTTCCGGGTCTAGGTGTAATGTGTATGTGAACTTGTATGTTTGTAAACGCACCCACGATACAGGAAGAAATTCTAATGTGGGGGTACGTTTATTTTTTAAAAAAGAGCCATGAAGTCTCGCAAGTTTATATACCCTTCAGGAACTTAAGATTGAGTAAGCTTTCAGTATTCCGGCATAGATTTATGAATTAAGAGATCAGATATTATAAAATATAATCCTGTATAATACCGGATTATATAGTGAATATTACTAACTGAATTTAAACAATGCTTGCAGACTCGCTGACTCAGTACGAGACTCAGTTCGATGAAACCGTGCACGCGGTGGAAGAACCGGAAATCGAACGGTGTCCCTACGTACATCTGTCTGCTGTAAGTATTGCACTTTGTAAAGAAAACAACTTATATTATCAAATACTAGCGACCCGCCCCGGCTTCGCACGGGTGCAATATGCATTGATTGTACATATAAACCTTCCTTAAAAATCATTATCTATTTAAAAAAAACCGCATCAAAATCCGTTGAGTAGTTTTAAAGATCTAAGCATACATAGGGACAGACAGACGGCGGATAACGACTTTGTTTTATAATATGTAGTGATTAGCTGACCCAACAAAATTAGTCCCACCTAATAATTTTATCTCACCTTTTAAACCTTCCATGGACTTCCACCAAGACCAGAATTAGTCAAATCGGTTCAGCCGTTCTTGAGTGTTAGAGAGACTGACGAATGGAAATTCATTTTTATTTATACCTCTATATACATAGATAGACTATTTCAATAAATGTTAAATATGCTTTGCAAGTAGTTAACAAAATTGCCATAAAGTTAAGTTATATGAATTATATTATTGAAAAATTATATTTAAAGTGTCTACACCTTGTCCGTCTTGTCATCTACTTTGCACAATAAGATAACATTAGGGTAGTATCCTAAATTTTATTTCAATGTCCGTCTGGTAGATTATTTTAAAACATTAGACACGTATTTTCTCTTTTCTTACAAAATTGAATACTTTCGACGATATATTGATTTGAAATATCGTGTGACGTCACGATTTATTACATTTTTTTTTAAGGGTAGCGTGATGTAACGACCTCCCACTCATAAACTTAACTCCGTTTTATCTAAGTATTGTTTTCTTATACGACGGACTAATTACATTATTTAATTTTCATACACTGTCTACTCCCTATTTAGTCAACCTAAAGATTGAATACAATCAAAGATCATGTAGCTACAATAATGTGTATGTCCCCCCGAAGGTCCACGAGTACACGTACCCCGCAGTGAGTGCGGCCGTCAGCTCCGACATGGCGTCGCCCAACACCAAGCCGCCGCTACTCAAGCGGGACTCCGGTCAGTTATACTATGTTTATTTATTATCACCTACGGTCGTAATGGTCCCACGGCAAGGTTAAACGTTCTCCAACTCTGTTGCATTTCTCTCTGTGAAAGTTATGCAGCCAATCCCTCTTAAAGGCGTCGCGGAGAACCTAACGGGTTACCGCAGTTCCGGCTCGACGTGCAGGAGTAGGAATGGGGTGGTTTTTAGTCAGTAAGAGTCTGACACTCCCTCCCGCCTCGGGAGCAGTCATTCGATGATCCCCCCTTAAAAAAATTCTTAAAGGTGTATTGTTCGTACCAAATCCACAACATCAATTTTAGACCTTATTGTGACATTTCTGCCTCGTTGGCCGAGTGGTCGCAAGTGCAACTGCCGGGCAAGGTGTCTCGAGTTCGATTCCCGGGTCGAGCAAAGTATTACTGGGTTTTTAAAAAATTCTCAGTTGTAATTGTAACACGGAGTCTGGAATTGTGCCCGGTATATGGCAGTAGGCTCACCCCCTATTACATGGGACTCATAACATAATTAGTTAAAACTGGGTGTTACAGTGTACAGTGGCATCATGTGCACCTCTGTTTACCCCTTCGGGGATAAAAGGCGTGATGTTATGTTATTGCGACATTTCTATGGAATTATCCACTCAGTAGTAAGTTTTGTCCACCTCTCATGGTCTGGTTCGTGGTCGTGGTCTGAGGGATCTGTTTGTGGTCGGACGGGGAGCCACCCACTGAACGAGTAAATGCCGAGTGGCTTATGTATCATTGCACTGTTGGCTGTCTATTGAATGAAAGTGATAATTTAATATAACTGACTGTTACATTCCAGGGTCGATGAAGAAGGGCGGCAGTGGAGGTTACAGCAGTGGTCCCCCGCCATTGCCGGACAAGAAGCCAGCAGAAGCTACATTCCAGGCGCGGATTAAGTGCAGGTAATGTTACATTATCAGATATTTCCCCAAATTAAGTCTATTTGTCATTTGAGTCTCTTTTAAGGGGCAATATTATCGGTTACTTATGGGAAGACGTGCTTATTGTAGACCGCATCTTCGCTTACCATCAGGCGAGATAGTGGACTAACTTCGACCCATCAAATATAAAAAAAACTCTAAATTAGATTCAATTACAGAAAAAAGAAATACTATTGAAATTGTATACCTTTAAACTGATACATTCTTTAGGATAATCATAATATGATATTTCATATCTAGTCAAATTCAATACGTTTTTCGAAGTGTCAAAAACGACAGTTTTCTATGAATTTGACAAGATTACAGTTTATGACAAATTGTTAATAATTAATATCACCAATGCAATTTACTAATTTATCGCCATTAATGGCAGATACCTAATTGGGTACTTGCACGGAATATAGAATACAATATTCCGTGGGTACTTGCCAACTAGTCAATTTCGAACTGTCAATCTCGTGATTGACTCATAGAAAATTGTCGTCAGTTTTCTATGAATTTTATACGAGGTTGTGTATTGTGACGTCACGTTTTTTTAGCGTCAAACTGCGTATTTATTTCTTAAATATTGCTGGAAAAAATACTAAAATTAGGTTGGTCATAAAATCAATTAATGAATGTGTGATTACTATTTTTTTTAAGGTTTGAACAGTCTAAATATTTTATTTTTGATTATGTAAAGTACCCAATTGTATGTATCACATTATATTAAGGGAAAATTAATTGATTATGGTATTTGAGCTGGCCATGTTCGTTCATTTAGATCTTATTTCCGATCCACATGTATGCACTGTCCCCATAACCAGTAGTGAACAAAGTGATATCATGTCTCGCAGACACTGCCACGAGTGGTACTTGGAGAGCGCGAACCGCGCGGGCGCGTGTGAGTTCGCCCCGGACTGTTTCCGCTCCTGTATCGACTGCGTCTCCTGCATCAAGTGCGCGCAGGTAACTCACTAAACACATTTTCTTTGCATTACGTTTTCCCGTACTATGTTCACTGTGTTCTTCAGTGTTTAGACAAGAGCCGAAACCTTCAAAAATGGTAAATAGTAATTAAAAATACTGTAGGATGAAATCCATTTAGGGGCCGTTCAAATATTACGTAAGCAGATTTTTTTACAATTATTTACCCCCCCCCCATCCCCCTTGTCAGCAAAAGTAACCAAAGATCTTACCCCCTCCCCCTTTGCTTACGTAAACATTTTAAATTATATCTTTTCTATATTGTAATTTTAATTTTCTCTTAGATACTATAATATCTAGTTCTTTGTCGGTCTTTGCTTGTAATTTATAATTTCAATATGAGGTATGCCATTCGTGTAAAAAGTAAATAACTCTCAATGACGTAATCATCATCTATATCCTACCCCCATGTCATCCCACCCCCCCATGGTGCTTACGTAATTCTTGAACGTCCCCTTAGAAAAGGAGGGGAATACGATAATTTAAAAATGAAAGATAAATTACGGCCGATTTCAGATCGGGAAGTGGGAGGGGGTGAACTTAAAAGGGTTAAAAATGGTTTATCTTGATTTCTGGCAAAACTTAAGTCCTATAGAAAAAAGTTCTATGACAAAGTTGTAGATATCTACAACTTTTGTGTCAACTAAATAAGCAGTCCGATTGCAGTTCTATTGGAGTCGTGTCAATTGGGATGATGACAGGGTATTAAAATTAAAATCTAATTAGTCCGTAAGTTAGGTAATGAAAAAATGTTAGACACGTATTTTTTTATTTTGTCGCATAATAAAACAATACTTAAATAAAACGAATAAAAGTTTAGGAGTGGGGGCTAAAACTATTATATAAAATTAGTTATTATATTTGTATGTAAATATTCCAGTGCATGTTGTACCACTGTATGGCGGACGCGGAGGGAGACTTCGCACTACATCCCTGCGCCTGCGCACCGCCTGATGAGGCCTGCGCTAAACGGTATGTGTATAATATAATAATACCTACCTTTTTTCAATATTTATTATTATTCTCCACGGATATATGGGGGGTGTTCCATAGTCTATGCTTACCCCTATGGGAGACAGGCGTGAAGTTAAGCACGTAAGTAAGTAATTTTTCACGGACTTGTGGTCAGTGCCCTTGTCATACAATGACATAACATAATATCACGCCCTTTATCCCCGAAGGGGTTGGTAGAGGTGCACGTTACGGCACTTAATGCCACTGTACAATGTAACACCCACTTTTCACTATTTATGTTATGAGTCCCATGTAATAGGGGGTGAGCCTATTGTCAGACAATGTTATTTTACATACCAATATCTATTTAAGTATTGTCTTTTGATAGTTTCCTTTGGAATGAGACATCGGTTTCAGTAAAGATGTGAAATTGAGATCGGCTGCCGCGCAACGTGTCGTGGGTTCGAACCCGCGACACGTTGTAGGCGGCCCGCACGGAGCAACACTTTGTGTGATCCACAGATTATTGTTCCGGGTCTGTGTGTCTTGTGTATGTGAACTTGTATGTATGGACCTCAGGCGTCGTTAGTTTGTTTTGAGTTGAAAGAGACCACAGATTTCCCGTTCAATAATTTATTGTGTAAGTTACACTAGTTATGTGGGATGCTAATCGTGGCTATAGTTATAATCAACTGAACTCTAAATATTACAATATTAATTAAATCGACTAGCGAAAGTAGGTCGCGGGACGTTAGCAAAATAAATGCCTGTACGTAAACCGTACATAAACGCACCCACGATACAGGAGAAAGTCTGATTGTGAGACGTTTAAAAAAATAATATTAGTATGGTTTTAATGACTTCTAATTTATTGACCGTCTGATTGATAGCTGAAACTATTGGTTGTAGCATACTGAAATTGGGATATAAGTTAGATGTGAAATGTCCATAGCATTCTTTTTTGTTTTAAATGTTGTCCCACATTAGGATTTTCTCCTGTGTCGTGGGTGCGTTTACAAACATACAAGTTCACATACACATGACACCCAGACCCGGAACAACAATCTGTGGATCACACAAAGAGTTGTTCCGTGCGGGAATCGAATCCGCGACACGTTGCGCGGCAGCCGTTTGCCTAGCTACCGCACCAACCGTGCAGTCACAGTTTCAGATTTGTATTTTATATTGTAAATAGAATTGTATGATTTATATACTTAAGTCCAATGTTATTTGATTCTACAAAAAGGCTATAGATATTTTAATCAATTTTACTAATATAAAATCGAAGGTTTGTGAGGTAGAGTTAGTGTGTTTGTTGTTACGTATGTTACTTGATCACGCCATAATGGCTGAAGGTATCAAAATGAACTTTGGAACAGAGATAGATTAGGGTGTGGAATAACATATATTAATTATGGTAGTTTTTAATCGTCTAGAATGCGTTGTGAATGAATGAATGTGGATGAAGCGGCTGATAGTAAGCTAATAATTAGTATTTTGTAATAGCATTATTGTGATGAATGAGTAGTGAATAACGAGTTATCCCCCGTGCAGGTGGACAGTAAGCTAGTATATATATAGTAAGGACAGTATTGTATCGGCCGTACAGATGGATGGGCGTGAGTCTGCTGAGCGTGTTGGTGCCGTGCCTGTGGTGCTACCCGCCGCTGCGCTGCGTGCACGCCGCCGCCCGCCTCGCGCGCTCCGCCGGCGGCATGCACGCCCCCGCGCCGCGCCCGCCCCGCGCCGCGCCCGCCTAGCCCCGACACAAGCCCGCCTAGCGGGGCCCCGAGCCCCGCGCACTGCTCGCACAAGCCCCGCGCCGCGCGCACTCATAATACTATGTCTGTGTACACGGCTAAAAGTTCTACTAGTGCTCTTAAACTGAATGTTATAACACCTTGTATAAAGCGCAAGATTAGGCGCCAGGTAGTCTGCCTAATGATAATATAGGGAAGTTCATAACACCCTATATAAGAGAAGGTACAACACACTGTATAAGGCACGTAGTAGTCTACCCAGTGGTCATAACACTCTGTATAAGGCGCGAGGTAGTCTCAATGAAGGCGCACTAAACTCACTCACACCTTGTATACAAGGCGCGAGATAGTCTTTTCAATGAAGACTTTTAAACATCTTAAATTAAAGGACATTATGCCCTGTCCTTTGTTATAATCCCACCTTGCTAAGTACTGTTAAGTATTTAAACATAATAAGCAGTATTTATGAAGATTGGGGCTATATTAAAATTGTATTTTGTGGTTATGTACATAGTTATGTTATTTTGAGGGTTAAAAAACGATAATTGAAGATTAAAAGACGTGATTGGCAATGATGACAACATTATTTAATGATCACTTAAAAGAAATATCGTTAAAGACGATGAAAAATCTTCAGAAACGATTAAAAAATATCCCGACCAACCACAAAATACATAAAGGACAGTGCGATTAACGTTTCAAGAAAGTGCGATTTAAAAACATCAGCGGGGGCAAAAGTCTCGAAAGTGCAGAAAATTTATAATACATTAGCGGGGCAAAAAAAATCGGAGATGGACGAATGGACAAGCGGTTAAATATATCACCGCTTCAAACAAATTGATATATGGAAAACAGATTTCACCAGATAGATGGATAAGTATGGAAGGAATGAGAAGCAAGGCTTTCTCGATTAGAAAAATGCTATTGTCATGTGAAAAATACAAGAAATTGAGACAATTTTACAAGATTGTGTTTCGACATGTCTCAAAAACATGACAGAAATAAGGGGATTGACAAAGAGAAGGAACTATCATGATATAAATGCATCAGATTGCTGAACCAAAATTATTTAGTAAAGAAAACACATCGAACCGTTTTTTCTATATAAAAATAAAATTATATCGCTAAATTTTCTTTATCGATAACGCTGTGGCGTTCGATAAAAATGGTCACAACACTAAGTGAACACCACCCGCAATAAGTGAAAAAAATATCCATAAATCGTGGTATTTTGATAGAAAGCGCCATTTTGGCCATTTAGCATTCATTTTTATTAAATAAGTGTTATTAATATACATGCACAAGAAGAAAGAAACAAACACTGCGAATCTTTCCCATAGATGTACGTATTTTTAGATCTGACAACCCAAGAAGCTAAAACCTCTATAGTATTAATTATTTTTATTTCGTACGCAAAGGAACGTGGTTAAAACAAAGCAAGTGGCCAGTGTTGCAAGACATTTTTTTATGATAGCAACACTGAGAGCAACAGTGAAGTGACAATGTCGATGTATCGACACGAATCGTGTTTTGAAGGGTGGCAACAATTTTTTTCTTTCGCTTTTTTATACCCAGTGTCAAAGTTATAGTGTTGCTGTGTACGGTGTTGCCACTGTAAGACTTATTCGGTGTTTTAGCGAAATAAATTCGCATCGAATTGGGCTAATTCAATTCGCCATGGTCTTTGATGTGAGTCGTAGTGTTGGGCACCATTTTAGCTTATTAATTTTTTATTTAAACGCCCAACACTATTTATATTTAAAATGTTATATTGTGCCATAAATATGTGTTTTTAAATAATCTTTTTCTTTTACAATTTCTGTCTTCCATGACTAAGGATTGATTTTAAAAAGTTTAAAATTTATGATTGTTATTTGAAAATGGTTGGATTTGTTATTCGTGATGAGTTGTTCGAGAATATATGCTATTTCTATTAATTGGTGTAATCATTACAAAGTATATGATATACAAAATGTTAACATATCCCATTCATTGTTATATATTTAACATTTTAAACGCTTCTTTACTTGTCTAGCCTAAGTTTAAATAAATGTTTAAAATTTGAAATTTAAATTTCATGTTTTAAATTTTATTCATTTAAAAAATGTTTAACGTTTATTTATTTCGTAACAATTTATTTAAATTGAGGCTAGATCTTTTTAAATATTTGTACTAAGATTATGCATTCTTTTGTAAATTAGATTTATTTGAAAATACGGGTAGTATTGTTACCTAGACAGCGGCATTTTTTATTTCAAAGTTGTAATTTTTCTATAATTATTATTATTATAAAAAATAAAAATTAATGTGTATTGTAAATTTTAATATTCGTAATGTCATTGAAACAGCGTCATATTTATTATTAGTGTTATAATATAGTTGACATTAATCAGTTGGTTGAAATTAAATATAATATCAATGTTTCAAATAATTATGTATGTCTACTGCATAGGTTTAAGTAAAAAAAAAAGTTTTTTATAAAACTTCACACAAAGATACAAAAATTTTCACCGTACAAAGTTAATGTTGTCTAGTCTATGGATCAGTATTTTTTTAAAATGAAAAATCATTCTATCTAAATAATTCCTTTTAGTTTGGATTCGAAAAAATAAAATGACCAAAATGTTTTTGTATATTTATAAATAAGTGGAATATTCACGAAAATGGTTCCGGTTATCTGTACATGAGGTGTCGCACTCAAACACACACATTCAATTATTGAAGTAATATTTAGGAGCGGGATATAAATATGAAATCTTCTAAGTTTTCGTAAGATATGAGGGCTCACTTATGAAAATTACACAAGATTTCATATTTCGATTTGCGGTTGCGATCCCTTGGATCTCAGCCGCGAATGCGTCAGGATCGTCTACAATATAAAATAGTAAAAAACAGTTCCAAATTTAAATAACCGGTTTTTTCCAGTGCCACACTTCTTTACAGCAAAAACCCGAACCTTTTTCGTAAAAATTTGTTACTCCGTAAAATGAGAATCTTTAAATATTGTATCAAAATAAGTAAATGTATTCAATGTTTAATTATAAAAAAAAATAATGTATTTTAACTGTTTTTTAAAGTAAAACATCAAATCGGTTGACGCAATCAATCGCTAATTAGCTGTATGAAGAGACTTTAAATATTTACTGTAGGAAATTTTAAGAATAATTAAAAATCAGTGTTAGTGTCTTTAAGCGTATTGGTATCAAATTTGATTAAAAACCAAAGATATGTGTAAAAGAAGGTTTGTGCACAAGCACAGCCTGATATGGTTGTTTAAAATGAACATAAATGTATTGAAAAATATGAAATAAATAATCGTACATAAATGTGCGTTGTTTTTTCATTTAACTCTATAATTTTTTCTTGAAATGTTATCCCACTTACACTAAAATACCATTTAGTTGGTTCTACTTCAGCCATTATCAATGTCACATATATTTCTTTTTAAATAATAACAAATTAAAAATCCAATAGTTTATTTTGTTATTAATTTATCTAATAACTAATTAGGTGTTCATTTTGCATTTCAGAAATTGAATTTATTAAAAATAATGGAATAAAAACACAAAAACTATTCAAAAAATAAATAATCACCTTTATTTAATTATTAAAAAAATAAATTTTACAAATTAGATCATTGTTAAAAACTATTTATTTACATTACAGGAACCTTTGTTAAAATTCAATTATTTGTTCCTAGCTAATTTCAATCCCTTTACATGCATTATTTACCAATTTACATGTATTTTTTTTATTTAAATTATACAAATTAACTAAAATTAATATTATTAACAATTATAAATAAATTATTATTTTATCTTAAGTTATTTCGTTCCTATTAATCTTAAACTGTCGTAGAGATTTTAGTTCTTGGCAGGATTCTTTAACAAATTATCCTTAGACTGCCCTAGAGATAAAAAATACCTAGTTTCGCATTATTACCTGATTATTGAATATCGATTCGCATTTACAAAACAATCTTAATTAAAATTATTGTCGTACAAGTCACTGGTTTCAGATACCTGCATATTAGATAACACGTAACATTATTTTCAATAAACCATAGTTAATTAATTACATATTAAATACCTATCTACAAATATTAACAAGAAGAAACTCAGCTAAACATAAACAAAATACAATAACAAATTAAAATGGCCGCCAAAGATGTAGTTTCCCGCGCTCCGCTTGACAGTTCGTTGAGGCGTTCGAAAACTTGAGCTTGCGAAATATTGTGAGGCTCCGGTACCGTCTCAACAAGTATTGGAGTTATTTCTGAATAATCTGCTGTTGATGGTCTTGTGCGACCAGCTGAATGAAGAAAAAATAAAAATTGTATACAGATTAATATGTATTTAGACTAAAAATAAATGGTAAGTACTTATTGTTATTGGATATTTTAGACGTTTTTAGTTCATATATTTGCTATGAAAAGGATTAGTAAGCTATTGACTCTCAGACCAATAAAAAGCTACTAAAAACGAGAGCTATCCACACTTTAAATTAGCTTTGCACCTGGTAATAAATCATGGAGCCAATATGTCATTCCTTATGAAGTCTGCTTCATATTATGACGTATGTCGCGTTACGAGGTCGTTAGTCAGCTGTGAACGAGCGACAGCGCGTGACGTATACTTGTCGTCACGCGCTGTCCGCTTTACGTAAAATGCCGTCTTGTGTGGTAAAGTTCTGTAGAAACAATAGCACACATCAAACCAAGTCCCTTGGGGTTACTTTCCACAGGTTAGTACTGAAATTCTCATTAGATTAACAAATATTTAATCAAAACAATGGTACGTCAATATCTTGATAACAGTGTTGCAAGGTAATAAATTTTATGTTTCCCCGAATTTGGGGAGTTTCATTTTGAGTGTGGGAATTGTTTATTAGATATATTGCCTGCTTATTAGATATATATAATTATGCTAGTCTGAGTACTATTAATTAATTTTAGATTCCCACCTGAGACGGATTGGAAAGAGAAATGGATTAAAGCATTACGCGACAATAGAAAAGAAGAGGAATGGACGCCATCGAAATTCAGCGTAGTTTGTTCTTTACACTTTCTAGAATGTGATACGTATATGACCAAAGGAGGTTATCGGAAAATTAAGAAAGATGCTGCGCCTAAAAAGGTAGGTTAAGTGCTACTTGTTATTTTCGTCCTTGTGGATGTCGGTTTTCGCGAATGCATAGTAGATCACAGATCAAAAGGTGGCCAAAATAAAGCGAATGTTTTATATGGGAATGTAGCTGCTTCAGTTATGTTTTGATAAATAGTTGTATAGAGCACATAGCTTGAACTAGGCTACTTTTTATCCGTCTCTTGACTTCGTAAGTTTTCGCGGTAACCGACATTTACTTACGCTAGCGGTGTTGCGAACAAAAAAGTGAATTCTACAACGTTGGTCTTTATCTATTTTAGATGTTCCTCAAAGATTCCGAATGGTTTGATAAAATAGAGCCACCAATTGTACACGTATGTGACCAACACGACACACATGAAGAAGAAAAGTCAAAGAAAGAACAAGAGCCACAAAATGGCCAAGATTTACAGACGGATCCATTAATGCCGGATCTTGATATCGAAGAGGTTAGTGCTAATGTTCCAAAAAAGGGAATTACTACGTGGCTAGTTATTGGAACAAAATGTGGTGCAAGCCTATCAATCATCCATGTATTCTGTGGGAACCGGTGACGTAAAGCATGCGCGGCTTAACTTCTGGACCAATTTTGATCCTTGGGTATGAAACATGGTATAATCTTGAATCTGCTGGCTTGGCGAAGGATATAGGTTACTTATTTGTATGTTTTATTGATATAACTTTTACATAGGTGTCGTCGACGACAGAAACTCGTTTAGCACTAGAAAGGCCGCCGTCCCAATTTTTGCCCATTTGCAAGTTTGATAATTCAAGTCTTTTTTATTTTTAAATTTAGTTGCGTGAAACTTTTTGACTTTCATATATTTATTTTTAATACAGAACGAATACCACTTACAAAATAAAAAAAAATGTATTTAAAAATATAAAAAATAGGAACCGACCAGTACGGGATCATAGTCCAAGCTGCCGGTGGTTAGGGCTCCAGAGACAGAAATATAATAACTAATAATTAATATTGTATTTTAATCATTATTATTGTTTTCAGTTAGAAAATAAATAAAATAATGATTTACCTAGAACTGCCGTTAGGTCATTCGATTCTCGGCCTTTCTAGAGTTAAAGGTATGAATTTTTGTGTTGTAACACTGGTTTTGTTTGTTTTTAGATTGATCTCATAAGTGCGGAGTGGTGTCAAGAAATGGAGGAATTGGGTATTACCACTGAATCTTTGGCAGCTCTACTGGACGAGGTTAGTGCTAATTCACGTCTCTTTGTATCCACTTACTGTCCTTATCCCAAGTTACTTGAAGTCTAAGTAAAATATCTTCTTGTATTCTCCTTTATCCCACCACAAACGGGTTCCATTCAAATCATTCCTTTCAATTTATTATTCACAATATCCTAACAAAATTCTCTAATAGATGAAATCTTTAAATCCTTTTCTTTTACAGTGCTACAGTGATATCGAAAACGAATTCGACGATATAGATACCGAACAACCGAACGCTGTAGACGACCAAAATATCAACAAAGGAAGCTCTGATACCGTCGTCCATAAGAAGTGTGATTGTAGCAAAAAACAAAAGAAACTTCGTAAGAAAAGAACTTTACAGGAACTGAAGGAGCGATTCAAGGTGTCTTACAAAATTCGCGTAAAGAAAAGTAAATTACAACTGCTAAGGGAAAAATTGACAGCCTTAAAACGAACGATGAGACGCTGAAGATTGATTTAAAAGACTTGAAGAGAGGAAGGGATAGGATCTAAATATCTTTGTTATTATTTATTACTTCTATAAGCGAGATTGTTCGCGTGGAAGTTATTTTATTAGTTAATTTTTTTAGTATAATAAATAATCAATTGTAATTTAATGTTTTTTCAACTATGATAAATCAATTCTCGATGTAAATGTACCTAACTATGTAACTATATGTCGTTTAGCTAATAAAACAATTGATAAAACAAAACTCTTTTACTTAGAACTGACTAAAATTTTGAGTAAATATTGAAAAAATAATTGCAACAAGTCTTATTATTTTTGTTGGGGAAATTATAGTACAGCGCTAGCAACATTTTTCTGGAACACGCATGCGCAAAACTGTCTTTCAAATAGCTGAAACATTTTACGATTATTTCTAAACAATAGCTATGTTTATATTTTATGTGATTTATTGGTCTGAGAGAGAACATTGTTAATAGCAGTATGATAAAGATAAATAAGTGGTAGGTACCAAAAATTGCAATTGTCCTACCTCCCGGCTCCGTAGCAAAATGTAATATCGAAGATGGTTTGCTCCAACCAAACCTGAAATTAAAATAAATATTTAATATATTTAAATATACATCGACTTAAAAATAAACAAAATGAATAATTTATCTAATTCGTCTATATATTTCTTTTGCATTATATCCACCCAAAGGCTGTCTGGTAGAAATCACTATAAGTAATAAGACCGCCTTCGTGCCCATTATTATTTTTTATTTCTGTTTGTCATTTCCTTTTCTGTATGTACAATATTATTAATGGTGTACAATAAAGATTATTCTATTCTAATTCTCCCCTATTCTATCGTTTTGTTCCGGGAAAAACACCGTGAAGTTCTGGCAACATTAAAATAATTGGAACATGCGCGTTGCATTTTCTTTTAACTTTTTATATTGAAATTTTTCTTATTATTTTTAGCTTTACGTTTCAGTTATTGATTGCACATATCCTGTTATGATGGAAGTCTGCGTACGTAGTAGATAAAATATTGTAAGGGATGGAGTTGGTCCTGGCGTACGGGAACGCCAACTAGGGCAATTTTTCTTGGAATTCGATACACCAACTAGTTTAACTTCAGATGCATGGGGCACATTAATGGCTATTAAAATTAAAAATTTGGTAAGTATTTTTTTAAAGGGGGAATATCATTGAATGACTTTTTCCGCCTGTGTGTGAGGCGGGAAGTGTCAGACTCTTACTGACTAAAAACCAATCCGTTCCTACTCCTGCCCTTCGAGCCGGAGCCCCGGTAACCCGTTAAGTTCTCCGCGACAAATTTGGTAGGTATAGGTACGTAAAAAATGTGTCAAAATTACCTACTCCTTTACTAGACAAAGACTACGAGTACCTAACTTAGAAAGAGATGAGAATCCAATGATTCCAATTTCTATATCTGATATCAATCTAAAAAAAACATAGCGATGAAGTAAGAACCTCCTTCTTTTTGGGAAGCCAGCTAAAAAGAAACCCTGAAAGTAGTGATTATAGATGAACTGTACTCAATATTGTTTCTAAAAATAATGAAATTTTATTTATTTATTTATATTAAACCTTACCTAAACTATCGTGACAGGTTTCTCCATAACGATAGCTATGTTACGTCCAAACATAACAAAATCATGAAGAAAAACAAAAATAAACAAATTCTTGGTTAAACTAAAATCAATAATCGAAAATACTAAAAAACAAATAAAAATGAAATATTACAAAACAAAGAAAAAAAAACAATTACCTAAAGTAGGTACCTACTTTATTAAGTTATAAATAAACTATACATAACATAACATACTTTTAACTTACTAGTCTTAAAACATAACATTAATCTATTACAATACCTAAATGAGATCATACTAACAACACGGTCACGAGATCAGAAAGAAAATGAAATTAAATAAAAAAAATCATTTGATAATGCGAACGACGTATTATAAGCAATATTACGTATATACATAAGGGTCAATGTACCTAGCCAATGTTCCCCAGTTTTATCGATTAACGACAGGGTAAAATCCATTTAAGTTCTGGCAACATTAAAATAACATACCGGGCATGCGCGTTGCATTCTCTTTCAAATCAATACATTTCATTACAAGATTAATTAATTGTTTAGCTGTATATTTTGACCTTAATATACTTTGTATAAAGAAACAAGGAGGTAAATAGAAAACTAAAGGATAAAATCGTAGCTATCTCCGTTTATCCAGTGTCGGATTTAGGGCGGGGCTCAGGGCCGCCGCCCAGGGCGTTTTCCTTGGAAAATTATACACAAACGATATTAATTTCCCTATTATAAATACCTAAGTAATATTAAAACCAAATAAGTATCTGAAAGTACCGTCGGTTAATACGTACCTATTTATAAGTTTTTAATGAGAAGTAATAGTGGGAGAGCCATGCTTCGGCACGAATGGGCCGACTCGACCGGAGTGATACCACGGCCGAGCAGAAAACTGACGTGAAGCAACGCTTGCGTTGTGTTTCGTAGTGTGAGTGAGGTTACCGGAGGCCCAATTACCCTCCCCCCTCCTGTATGATCTCCCCAATCCCTGAATCCCCCAACAATCCTGAAATTCCTAATCCCCAAAAGGCCGGTAACGCACTTGTAACGCTGCTGGTATTCCAGGTGTCCATGGGCGACGTCGATTGCTTACCATCAGGTGATCCGTCTGCTTGTTTCCCGGCTTATCCAAGTCATCAAAATCTTGTTACCATCCTGGACAATAGGGTCAATAGACCTCCTCTATATTGTCATTACATAGAAACGGAGGAGGTAATCTTTTACCTGTTTCTTGACGTGACGATAGCTTCGTACACCGTGGATGGCGTTAGTCCTCGTACGGTGTAGATTGCACTGTGAATCGGTCCTGAAATTGATACAATTTTTAACACATAACATAACGCCTTTTATCCCCGAAGGGGTAGGTAGAGGTGCACATTATGCCACTGTACAATGTAACACCCACTTTTCACTATTTATGTTATGAGTTCCATGTAATAGGGGGTGAGGCTAATTCCAGATTCCGTGCTACTACTGAGATTTTTTTTTAAACCCAATAATACTTTGCCCAATCGTTTATTCGAACCCGAGACCCCTTGCCCGGCAGTCGCACGTTTGCGATCACTCGCGGGACTCGCCCAACGAGGCAGTCATTCAGACAATTTTTAACAATAAACTTAATAATCTACTTCGTTAGCCGCAAGTGTGATGCTAATGTCTAGTTTTGAGTAGGAATTTATAGTGTTTCATGTTGTGAAACAAATGAATTTATTTCTGCAAATAGTCTACAAGGCAGCATTTTTACACGTCAATTTTATCAAGCGAACGATGAAGTCGACATTTCCTAACTGACTACTCTGAAAAGAAATGCCGAAACAAACTCAGAGGTCTGTCTCTTTTAAAGTCCAGACAATATGTACCTATATATATAATATAACGAACCGTTATGGACAGCATTTCCCACGGATTTGTAGGTCGGTACTTAATATTGTAAAATAACCCCCTTTATAGATAAAACCATTATTATAATTTTCTACCTTGTTAATTTATTTCATCTAACACAACTTATTACCCGACTACGGCGAAGCCAAAAGGAGAGTTATGATTTTAATCCATAATTTCATAATCTTCAATTAATCATCTCTCCAACATTTGTGTTTATCTTCGGTCTTAAAGTTCAGAGTCAAAGTCAACGCATTTATTTCAATTAAACCAAAGGTACTTTTCAAACGTCAATAAATACAAAATAAATAATAGTCTGTCAGTCAGTCCGTCAGTGAAGCTAGGTGAAGCTAGGTGCTCATTCCAAAACGTAGATTCGTATGGAGAAGAACGAGCAAGAAACTCCACTCGTTACTCTTTTAAAAAAAGTATGTTCTACAATGTCTCTGATACATATTCCAATACTGTACGCATATGTAAGAACAATGCAAAGACACGCTTGACGCATTATACTAATTATAAAACTTACTAAAATAAAAAGCTCAGTACGGAGTCTAGAATTGTGTCCGGTATATGGCAATAGGCTCAACCCCCATTACATGGGACTCATAACATAAATAGTGAAAAGTGGGTGTTACATTGTACAGTGGCATAATGTGCACTTCTGCCTACCTCTTCGGGGATAAAAGGCGTGATGTTATATATGTACCTAAAATAAAATATATCTTATAGTCTAACATGGTGCTCACATATACATACTGACAATCCATAAAAAGTCAGTATAATATTTTGCGCTCATTTTTACCAACCATTATTTTAACCGTATTGTAACTATCGTGAGACATACTAAATAAATTATTATGTTTTCGGCTTAGTGAGTAGCAGCGCCACAGTCGCCGCGTCGCGGGTCGCGAAATGCTGCTCATGAATATGAGCCTCTAGCATGGCTTGAAACTAGTCGAGTTCCTCGTCAAATTACTACGTGAGTAAGCCGAAAACATAATAATTCATTATTTTAACCCTTTTCAAAAGATTCAATTAAAATAGTTCAAAGTTCTCACCATCACTAGAGTCTCCGGGCACTACAATCTTGATCCAGTGGTTGGCGGGCGGTTCCGTGGTGAAGGCATCCGGTTCGGAAGTCACCAACCGACCGTAGTATGGACGGAGCCATAGATTGTACTCTACATTTATGGGGGAAAATATATTTTTTAAATGGGGATGATGACGGGGTATGAAAATTAAAAATCTAATTAGTCCGTAAGTTAGGTAATGAAAAAATATTAGACACGTATTTTTTTATTTTGTTGTATAATAAAATAATACTTAGATAAAACGAATCAAAGTTTAGGAGTGGGGGCTGAAACGTCATTTCTACGTATAAAATGTACATAGAAGTGACGTCACGCGACATTTCAAATCAATATATCGGCGAAAGTATAAGTTTCTGTAAGAAAATAAAAAATACGTGTCTAATGATTTAATAATATACCAGACGGACATTAAAATAAAAATTGCACATCTACCCTATTGTGATGCAGTATTTTATTCTGTAACTGTTTAAAGAAATACAAACTGTGACAAAATTAAATAACATAATTATGAACAAACTGGCTGTTGCCTGCGACTTCGTCCGCGTGGAACATGAGTAGGCTATAGAGGTATAGGATATAACTTTTTTTTCGTTTCAATTTTCTAAAATAAGTAGTAGGTAAGTAGCCTATATTACTCCTTAGTACAACAGCTACCTGCCAATAAAAGTCCTGTCAAAATTGGTTCAGCCATTCCAGAGATTTGCCAGTACAAACAAACATTTTTAAAAATGTTATTTTGGTATATGTATCGTATGTATATTCATATGCATGTAGTTAAAAGGCGGTTAATTTAATATTACAAACAGACACTTCAATTTATTCCAATATTTGTTTTAAATTTTAATAGCAATATATCTATTACAACCTAAAATTAACTAAAACAGTGTTTTTTAAACTTAAAAAAGAAATGTGTGATGATGTTACCTACTTATTTTTGATTAGCGACTTATTCTTATCTTTATTATTTATCTTTTTTTTTTACTATAATAGACTATTCTAAGTAAAAACGAAAAAAATATTGGATTTCCAAATGTAATTATGCTGAAGAATACAGTATTATAAGACACATTTATCTCTGCCTACATAACCTTAATCGAAAGTGGTGCCACCTACTATGTGCAAAAATGTGATTGTCATAACTCATTGGACTTCTGCTGTAAACTTACCAATGATGGTGGAATAAGAGTCGACTTCCCAGATCAGGGTGAAGCTGGTTGCTGTGGCTTTGTTTAAGGTAGCATCTACTTTGAATGAGGCTGCGTTTGGAACACCTGGTGGATGACAAAATTGATATAATTTCCAGTTTGCTATTCTAACACCTGAATACTGAAAAGCTACTCAATTTTAACTTGGATGTACATAGGGCTACACATCGAGCTTTACATAACCAGTATAAACTGAATGTTAAATGTGCGGAAAGATGATGCGACGCGACACCAGAATAAACTGGTTTTGTATAGATTGATGTGTGGCTGTGTGTATTTAAATATCGTGTCATCTCGGTAATGTTTACAAAGATGTTTTTTTAAATGCCACCCCAGCATTTTCTCCTGTGTCGTGGGTACGTTTACAAACATATAAGTTCACATACACTTGAACCCAGACCCGAAACAACAATTTGTGGATCACACAAAGTGTTGTTCCGTGCGGGAATGAAACCCGCTGTAGGTACGTTACGCAGCAGTCGCTCGCCCAGCCACCAGCGCCAACTGTGCAATCCATATCCATTTTACACATTTGATGGGTCGACGTTTGCCCACTATCTCGCGATGATACGGTCTACGATGGAGCACGTCGTCCCAGGTAAAGGCTTTAAAACAAGCCTGCGTCATTTTTCCTCAATTAATAGAATGCAAGAACAATTTAGTCGCCGGTCATGCTCACTTAGTGTGGATATTGACATGTCCTATTCTCTTTTCAAAGTGAAAACTGTCCTGCGTAGGACATTCTCACAGAGTTAAACTGCACTATATGTACTACATATTCAAATCAAAATTTTACAATTTAAAAATTGAGAAGAAGTAAAAATTTTAATTTAACAATTGTGATTGAAATTGATATCTTTTTTGATAAGCGAACTTTTTGTTTTTTTTTTTGTTGTAATATCCTGTTCCTTTATAATGCATGTCGTGGCAGCCTTTAATTAAGGCTACACTATAAAGTGTTAAAATATTATGTTAAAAACCTTTCATGTATTTTGGTGTATGCTTTGTTGGTTGTCCTTAAATAAATAAATAAATAAATAAGCAACCTATTCACTCGTACCTTGAATACACCCTTCAGGAAACACAGACTCTGGTAAAGAATTCCACTACTTAGCAGTACGCACAAGGAAGCTTGATGCGAAGCGCTTCGTGCATGTAGGTAAGACATCTACCATGAATCAGACAGGACTATACAAGCGCGACTCAAAATGTAGTTGCGTTTCAGTATTCAGGCATAAGTGTCGAATTGATCTTGACTTTCTAAGACAGACTAAGAATTCTTGCGCTTCTCCAGTGTCTTGAGTTGGGATTCTTCTGAATTACCGACAACAATAGTCTTGCATCCTAAGTCTTCAAATTTCAGATTCCATGTAGACTGGGAATACATGACGGGTCCCTCCCTATACTATTTCAAATATAGTAGGACATCTAACTCACCAGTTAACCTGAACATGAGATCAGCCATGCCCAATTTATTCTCCGCCCTAAACGTGTAGTTCCCAAAGTCCGTCTTCCTAACGCTCCTGAAGATCAGGTGGTGTACATTGTCATGTACCATTTGTACTATCCTGCAAAGAAATTGAGTTAAAAAAAAAAGTAATAAAAGAGAAAGTCTTTTAAAATAGTTTCAAGTGTCCGAAGTCCCTAACAATGCTCAAAACTTCAACCTCACAGAACACCGACGTCAAACACGTGGTGTGAGTGAGGTTTCCGGACGCCCAATCAACCACCCCTTCCTCTTGCCCAATCTCCCCAAACCCTGAATCGCCAACAATCCTCAAATTCCTAATCCCCAAAAGGCCAGTAACGCACTTGTAACGCCTCTGGTGTTCCAGGCATCCAGGGGTGAGGCCGATTGCTTACCATCAGGTGATCCGTCGTTTACCGGCTTATGCCATAAAAACGTCTTCTACGGTAATAGGTCTTTACGCTATCGGATTTATCAGTCATTGTTTAGTGCATATCCAGTTTGACTATAGGTCGTAAAATCTTGAAAAAATGATCTTATAGGCAATAATATAAACTAGCAGAATTAAAAGTCTTTCCCTATATCCTTTCTCCATTTTTACTTCTACTTCTCTTACCTATCATCAGTCCTCACTGGTCTCCCGTCCCTGTACCAGGCGGTTCTAGCTGGTGGCACGGCGAAATCCAGCTTAGCAGCTAGGGCAGCTCGGAGTCCTATTGCAGTGTGCACGTAGGTACGGTCTGATGTCACTACTGGGGCGTCTAGGGAGGAAGAAAGGCATTTAAAGTGGTAACTGATCAGTCGCACAAGCATCCAACCAACCAGGACCATGAGTCCTGGGTTGATTTTAGGGTAAGACAAGGCAAAGCCTTTCGTATGTGTTTGTTCCCCTTTGTAAGATACTGTGTAATTGTCCTTCTTGAACCTATTGTCAAAGTAGGTCTGAAAAACTAATTGGTCAATAGGGTAGATGCCTAATTTTTATTTTAATGTCCGTCTGGTAGATTATTTTAAATCCTTACACACGTATTTTTTATTTTCTTACAGAAACGAATACTTTCGACGATATATTGATTTGAAATGTCGCGTGACGTCACTTCTATGTAAATTTTATATATAGAAATGACGTTTTAGCCCCCATTCCTAAACTTTGATTCGTTTTATCTAAGTATTGTTTTATTATACGACAAAATAAAAAATACGTGTCCAATTAAATATTTATTCATTACCTAACTGACGGACTAATTAGATTTTTATTTTTCATACCCTGTCATCATCCCTATTGTTCATGCAAACGTCTCTTAGCAAGTTAAACTATACGCATCATTTTTTGTTGGCGGGGGAACCTTTTAATAGCCCCTAGCTTTTTAGGGAATAGACTAGAGAATGTGGAATTTTTACCTCCCTAAAACCATCCCGGTGACCACCATCTGCACCTCAAGGAGGCACTGGGTCCTCTTAGTATATCTCTCATCAACTACATAGATCACCTCAACACCTCAATCAACAACATACCTTGTATAACCACAGTGATAGTCGCTCTGGCAGGCTCCCCGACTCCATTATTGGCGATGCACTCGTAAACCCCTGCCAGTAACCGATGTTCAGCCCTAAATCTGATGCGGGAGCGATGTTCTAATAACGCCATGGGTTCCCCCTGAAGACAAATTCAAAGTAAGTATTTAGGTAAATCACTACATGTATAAAACAAAGTCGTAATCCGCCGTCTGTCTGTCCGTATGTATGCTTAGATGTTTAAAAGTACGCAGCGGATTTTGATGCGGTTTTTTTTATTAGATAGAATGGATGAATGAATTCTTAAGGAAGGTTTATATGTATAATACATGCATATTGCACCCGTGCGAAGCCGGAGCGGGTCGCTAGTAACTAAATAAAGAGAAAAGAGCTAGAGTAATGATTTAGAAATTCCATTGAAGTCTACTATCATATCAGCCAACCCCAAGACTTCAGAACACGAGCCCAATAACTAATGAAGAAACCTGTAGCTTGTTACGACCTTATAAAAGGTCACCATTTCATTCGGATTTTTTTTTTTAAGGGGCGAAATTCATCGTATGACTGCTCCCGCCTGGGTGAGGCGGGAGGGAGTGTCAGACTCTTACTGACTAAAAACCACCCCGCTCCTTCTCCTGCACGTCGAGCCGGAGCCCCGGTTACCCGTTAGGTTCCCCGCTTTGGCTTTGTTTTTAAATTTTTAGTGAAAAGTGGATGTTACATTGTACAGTGGCATTAAGTGCCGAAATGTGCACCTCTGCCGACCCCTTCGGGGATAAAAAGGCGTGGTATTATGTAAGTGTTACCCAATTATTTTACAGTCATTGGCTTTTCAGATAATGGATGGCTTGGAGACCCCCCTTTTGAATCAAACAAAAGTCTTTAAAAGTACAGTGATTCACAACTTTATGTACCTATGAAACGAATTATTAATTTTGACTCATCCATTCGAGATGATTGTGGTGACATACATACGCTCAATAAGTACTTAGGTATTTAGGATTGTATGTAAGCTTGTGTGTTTAGTTATGTTACTCACATTTTTCCTCCAGTCCACAATAGGGGGCGGTGTGCCCGTGGTCTCACATCCGATGTCCACGTAATCCCCCTTGCGAACTTCCAGGAAACCATCTTCTGGTATCGTCTTTACTGTTGGGGAATCTGAAATAAAAAGTACCTATTTTTAAGAATGCTTTTTGCACGACCGTTTTCTTGATGTAGTGGTTGGATACATCTTCGCTTCATCCACTCAAATATTATTTTCTTTATATGAGACTCCTAAATTATTTACTAACGACCTTCTTTTAATTTTATGATAGTTTTGTCTCTTAAATAAGGTTTTTACACTTACATAACACTTCAATAGAGTGTGTCTGCTTTATTGGACCCCAAGGCTCCGGTCGAATGATCTGAAACAAATAATATCTCACATAAAATAATCATTTTTTTTTTTTCATTTCGTTTCATCGAGCGTCTACCAAGGAAATGGTTTCTTTTGCTCTTGAAATAAATGAACCAATAAAAATCAACACAGAACATCTTGCATCATGCATTCTTGACACACAAGCAACTAATATTTCAAATCAACATAAGCGCCTTAAAAATATTTGTATTCGCCAGAAGTTGATATCAAAATGCCCTCTTCGTCAACCACCATTCCTAAAACGATCAAATAAACCACTAGTCTGAAGAGTCTCAAGTCTAATTACCATGAAGGGTGGTCCTAATTACCCTTTCAGTTCACAAAGTGGCCGACATATTGAGCTAACTGCTTACTTCCTTTCTGCATAAGTCGTAATGTTAGACTAATGCTAGTCTATTTACGGTAGCACCCGGATATATGGGTCATTAGGTTATTTGATCCGACTGTCTTGTTAGTGTTATGATTCTGTGTCAAAAGGTCTAAGTTTGATGTTCTGGTTCTGACAAAATGGCAGGATTGTTGTATGAAGACGCCTGTGCAGTGGTCCCTCTGTCAAATGTGTAGTCTTAGTCGGCTCTTATGAGATACACGGAAAGATACACTGTAGAATCTATTTCGTTTACGTCCCGCAGTAAATGAACTTGCCATAAGGAGTATTTTCGATGTGTAAAGTAAAAACAAAAATATATTGATGTCATATTTATTTTACTTTAAAAAAATCATGGATATACGCACATGAAACACTAGACGTAAATTTGTAGGTACTATTCGCATCGCACGTGCAACCCGACGAGAAATACCTCTACTAAAATTAAATGATGTTTTGTTAATGTACTAGACTATGAGTTCGTATGCGTTTTCGAAGTTTGCTTTTTGCAATGGTTTATCGTTTATTTTTTGTTTTAAACATTTTATTTGTTTGTATAACTATTGTATTACCACGACAGAACCATTGTACTTCGGGACGAAAACGATATAGATTTCACAATGTATAGGTATTTTGTCTACTCCGCCGTCACCATTCACCGTTGACTAATGAATAATGAATGATTAATTAATTAATTAATTAATTATGTAAATGAATAAGTATGTTGTGAATGAAACCTAATGTAACCTATTGTAATTTGATGAAATCTAATCTTTGTCTGTCTATTCTAAGAATGCATAATGTATGAGATGATAATTGTTTTATTTTTTCTTATTTTTGTTGTTGTTTCCTATGTTTGTTCTAATTGTGTGTTCACCTTAAATAGATTTCTGTTTATGGGAAACTATTATTTGTGTTTAATAATTTATTTTTTGTGTTAATTTAATAGTTGTGTTTTATGTTTATTAATTTAATTTAATTTAATAATTTATACCTGGGCTAATACCTAACTATTCTCTTGAGCATGATGTGTTAGCCTTTAATTGATTGTTACACTAGCAAATGCATAATATTGTATCTAAACCGATTTGTTGTAAAATGATGTGTAAACAGTCGTTGGCTGACCTAAATAAATAAAATAAAATAAAATTGACCACCCGGCGTAATTTGGATCCCATCTTTTAACAAAGGTAACTATATAATTTAGATGTAAGGACATAGGTTCTAGACACGTCACTAAAGAACCACTTGGTAATAGGAACATGAATTAATTCAGACAATCACGCTATGGCGGCAATGCTCTTGAACCATGATTAAAAAGTGTTATAGTATTATGACGACTGGTTTTCTCTGAAGGATAGGGACTATGGTACTGGCATAAGGTATCCATTATAACCCTATCATTATCAGTCTTCGTCCACTAATGGAGAAGTGAAGATCCAGTTAAGTGACTGAACTGAAGGTCCACTATACTCGATCTTAACTTTCCGGTATGAAAATTCTTTAAAAACTACAAATTTGCTTGGCTCAGAACTTTGTAAATAAGTAGTTTGCTTCTGCTATCATCGAGTCAGTTGATTCAAGTGATGACAACATTGCAGAAAAATGTATCCTATTATTAAATGCGATAGTAGTATGTTACTCTTTCACGTCGAATTGGCTGAAGGGATCAGGTTGAAATTCGGAACAGGGGTAGATTATGGTCTAGAATAAGACATAGGCTACTTTTTATCCTACAGGAACGCGAGCAAAGCCTGAGGCAGAAGCTAGTACTTACATATATACATATGTTACATATGTAGGTATGTATGTACATGTGTTAGTTACAAAACAGAGTAGATCGGGTATCAAAAGAGTTAGTACAAATTGATTAATTGCATAATTGGCCAGGCTTGAGAGCGGTAAACGAAACGCACATCGTTGCTAGTGAAGGGAAAATACTATCGATATTTTTTGCCACAATTTTTGTGTTAGATTTAGATGTCGATAAGTGTGCGTTTTGTGGATGTTAAACGGAAAAATGGATTGGAGTTTTGTTTTTAAATGTTAGCATTAAAGTTAAGTAGTTTCGCGGGCCTGCGTACGGCGAGCATGGGTGGCTCCCCGTCCGACCAGAAACAGACCCGAGCGTACGGCGCGTCGCGTTCCGCACGCGTCTCAAAGAGCCATCGGACCACCACAGATGGGACCTAACAGGGCCGATGCCGATTCAGAGTCGCGGAGAACCTAACGGATAACCGGAGCTCTGGCTCGACGTGCAGGAGAAGGAACGGGGTGGTTTTTAGTCAGTAAGAGTCTGACACTCCCTCCTGCCTCACCAAGGCGGGCGCAGTCATTCGATGATATTCCCCCCTTAAAAAAAAGTTAAGTAGTTTCAAGACTGCCTATAGAGTTTAATAAAACGTAACGACTAATTAATTCATTTACACGACTTGTCCGAAAAGCGTAACAGGAGACAGAGTACATGCTCCTACAGAAAATATTAAAATTGAACCACTTTATAATACTTTGCTTTAGACGAGTACTGTAGCTTTGATTTAAATCCCTTAATCAAATCATGCAATAAACGGGGTCAATAAACTGCTTTAAGAATTTGACTGGCTTCAGAGTATAAGCTTTCACGGCCTCATGTTTATTTAAATAGGGATTTATGGGAAACCGTGAAATTTACTATAATGCATTTAGTATAAGATGTTATGGTATGGAAGTACTTAAATAAAAATAATTTAATTTTTGAGTAGGAATAACGCTTCCTTTGTAGCTCTTATTTCCATAGTTACTTGAATTTATTACAAGTTACTGCCTATTTGGGTATACGTATACTCCGCATATGAAATTAAGCAATAGGTAGGGACATTTTTTACTAATAAACAACGAAAATAACTATTCATAAAAATACATATTGTCGATATGAATCATATATTTTATCGATAAATCTATTGAGCGTGTCGCATGCCTAGTAACAAATTAAAAATAGTTAAGATCGAAGGGCGGTCATCTTTTCATCAGTTTAAGCCAATTGTTGTTGTCAATGAAATACTTTTTATTGTTCCGTTTGCAATTTATTGTTGGATACCATTTTGTAATTGGTTAAATTGCTTGTGTCTTGTGTCTGAGTCTACTCCTAATAATATACATTTGACACTACCCTACTTTTCCCGCGGGTGTCGTAGAAGCCTACTAAGGCATTTAACAGATTGATTGACTTTGAATAATTAAACTATGGTCTCCAACTCGCATCAGGCCACAGTAAGCACGGGCCTGTGGACGGCGAGCATGGGTGGCGAGAACCAGACCCGAGCGTACGGCGCGTCGCCTTCCGCGCGCGCCTCAAAGAGCCATCAGACCACCACGGATGGGGCCCAACAGGGCTGATGCCGATACGGAGACGCCTTGAACCTAACGGGTTGCCGGGGCTCCGGCTCGAAGTGCAGGAGTAGGTACAGGGTAGTTTTTAGTCAGTAAGAGTCTGACACTCCCTCCCGCCTCACCCAGGCGGGAAGCGTTATTCGATGATTTTTGCCCCTTAAAAAAATCTTCTCAAAGACAAAAATCTCATAGTAGTCACAGTTGAACTATATAGACTAGTGAACTTTGACGGTTTGTTGATTGTGTTGTGTTTTGTTCCGTTTAGAGTAGCATTTTTTGACTATAAACTAAACAAATGCAAATACATAATAGCCATACCTCACAAGTATAGTCAGCGGTGTCCTGGGTTTGAAGGTTGTCGACCTGCAGACTGTAGTTAGAGTGCATCTGTACTCTAGGCGGCATGGTCTCTTGAGGAGTGTGGCTGTCTCCCAGGAGTGTCTTGTCTTTATACCAGCGGATGCGGAGCTTGCCCTCTGAAAATTATATTATAGTATTTTTTAACATACTGCCTGCCTCATTGGACGAGTGTTCCTGAGTGCGACTTCCCGCCAAGGGATCTTTGGGCTCGATTCCCGGGTCGGCGAAAGTATTACTTTTTAAAAACTCAGTAATAGCACGGAGTCTGAAATTGTGCCCGGTATATGGCAATAGGCTCACCCCCTATTACATGGGACTCATAACATAAAATAGTGAATGTGAGTGTTACATTGTATAGTGGCATAATGTGCACCTCTGCCTACTCCTCCGGGGATAAAAGGCGCGATGTTATGTGTTATATTTTAACATGAATAAAATTATTAAATAAAAGACAAGTCTCAATATGTAAAATGCCGTCAACGCGTTACCAACTTGTGTGGTGTTGCGGGTGTCCATGGATGGCGTCATTTACGTAGAGGTACATTCAGTCAGGCGATTCGTCTGCTCGTTTACTGGCCTATGCCATGAAAAGTCTTATATGGGACTAACTAGGAACTATTCATATCTAATAGATTACGAAGGGCATGTAGGTACCTTACTATTTGAATGTCTAGGCGACGCGTTCGGATGTTGCGTAATGTCGAATTGAGTTCCAGGATTGAGTAGGATTTGTATCTATGTAGGTATAGAATTTTGTAAGTGTAGGAAAACGGGGTATATATAATTCGAGGAGTGAATAGAGATGGTAGGAGAGGTGAATAGATATTGAGATTTTTTTCATAATTATAATCTATTCACTTCATTCCCGTATCTATTCACCCCATTTTACCGGTACCTATCTGTGAGCTTATAACAAACGCAAAACTCTAAACCACAATAAACCTTTGACACAAAATAAACTGCAATAACATCAACAATTTCCCAGCCAATCAACATCATAATTTCTTTCTCAATTCTTGTTATCATTTCAAAGTAAAGCAAGTTAAATTATAAGATTGGTCGGCTAAAGAAATGGTTCACAATGCTTCGGTTCGAGGGGACATCAATGGAGTCACAATTGAGGTACAAAGATCAGGATCTGTACAGCTTCCTGCTTGCCGTCTACTGTTAAATAAGGATAAAGATCTTTGAAGCGACTAGAAAGTGTGGAGAAGGCATTTTGGCTTTTGCGTGATGAAGTTATTTTGTAGATTACGTTGTTAGTATTTTGTAGAACTCTTCTTTAATAATAATATGTGTCGATTTGCACCTTTAAAACTTTACTTATTTATGGACCGAGGATCCTAAAACTGAGCGATTCGAAATTATAAATTGATACTATACTAAAGTTTTGGGAAAATCAATACCATCATAATGAATATAGACTACTAGCTAAGCCCGCGACTTCGTCCACGTGGAATAGTGATTCACAGCTCCTCCCCTGTAGTTGATAGCATGATAATATGTTTCCCTATATATTGACCCGATATGTTAGTAATATTCATGCAAAATTTGAAGTAAATCCATGCAGCTCTTTTTGAGTTCATCCCGGATATACAGACAAACATTCTAAAATCTATATTTTCGGTTTCGGTATCGACGGGAAATCACGCCCCAAGCGTTCTTTTAAAAAAATATTCGATGTACAGTTTTCACTTTCCTATGATTTTATTACATGTGTAGATATTATATACACGTATTTAGACAAACATGGTCTTGAAACATCAAGCCAATAGGTATACAATGTCAAACACATTACAATTAACTAAGAAACAACAAACATTGGCCACAATTTGTGATACTAGGCCAACATCCAACAAGACTCAGTGTTACGAAATATTAATTGTTCCTTATTAACGGAATATGATACTGCAGTTTTTGTGTTCAAGACTTGTTTTTTACGGGATAATCCTGTAAACGAGCAGACGGATCACTTGATTGTAAGCAATCGCCGTCGCCCATGGACTACCGGAACACCAGAGGCGTTACAGGGAGTTTTTTTTATGGCATTAGCCGGTAAACGAGCAGAAGGATCACCTAATGGCAAGCAATCTCCGGCGCCTATGGACAACCGGAACACCAGAGGCGTTACAAGGAGGTTACCAGCCTTTTGGGGATGAGGATTGTTGGGGATTCAGGCATTGGGGTGATTGGGGAAGGGGGAGGATATTCGGGCCTCTGGTAACTTCACACGAAACACAACGCAAGCGTTGCTTCACGTCGGTTTTCAGTGAGGCCGTGGTATCACTCCGGTCGAGTCGGCCCATTCGTGCCGAAGCATGGCTCTCCCACACTTACATGATCTTTTTGTCTGTCCCGCAAGATGGTTGTTTCTTTTACACGTCTCCGTTAAATAATTTATTTTTGGAACAATATTATATATGAAAATTATTACAATTCTATGCAAATAAGGCAACATATCTAATTACGTTCTCTAATTGTTTAATTGTAACAACAAAATAATGAATTTCGTTGGTACCTGATATATAGATGAGTCAGTAAGATTGTGAACATTATTAAATTAGGTACATACCTACCACAAATGTCGCATTGCATAAGAAAACAATGAATTTCTAGTCAGCATGAATTATTATATTGTTATATTAAACGTTGAGAATTTATTACATACTGCTAATTAAGTAAAGCAATAAATCGATAACAATGCTTATTTTTATACATACAAGTCTGACCATAAAAATGATTTTATAAAGAAATTTTCGACATTTATGAATGCCACATCCATTTTGTAACACAAATGAATGTTCCGATCTAATCTCCACAGTACGTGTTGAACACAAATGTGTATTGCTTTTGTGTATTTGATTTATCGATAGTCTGGCGGCCATATTTGAAGTATAATGTAATAAATGGAGCCGGCCCCTGTATTTTGGTATACCGGTTTTAATTGTACACTTATGAAAGGTCTGATATTTGTATTCTGGTCTTTGGCAAAAGATTCGCCCCTTAATTTTATACCGAAACTTGGTTAGTCTATGGGTAATGAAATCCTTGATGTGTTTTTGTGAACTGTAGAGGTGTATTACCTGTAGGCCAATGGAGATTTTTACGACTCATTACGGCCATCTTTATCAACAGCCAATGATAGTCCGGATCAAACAAATATTAGTTACTAGCTGACCCGGTAAACTTCGTACTAGCTAAAAATGTTTTTCTTACCTTTTAAACCTTCCCTGGACTTCTAAGAACATTTTAATACTAAAATTAGAGAAATCCGTTCAGCCGTTTTCGAGTTTTAGTAGACTAACGAACGGAAATTCATTTTTATATAATAGATAATATCTATGGTCCGTATCTTGGTCCAGCAGTGGACAATAGCAGGCTGTTGCTAAGCCTTCTCTATATAAGAGGATTTGCCATGTAGGTATTTACCCTTAGCAGGCGTTTATTACAGCTTAATCTAAAAATGTTCAAGTTTATTAAAGAATAGATACTGCCGCCCGCTCTAACAATTAATTTCTCAGGTCCCTCTCTACGTAATAACATGACAATCTTACATAACCTCACGCCTTTCTCCCATGGGGGAAGCAAAGCATGGAATGCTATGGACTATGGAATGCCAATTGCTACGAATCTTATATACAAACCTCCTTCGCTTCATCAACAGTCATCAGTCCTTTCATGCAAGCTCGTCGGTTAAGGGACAAATTATATGAAAACCAATGAAAACTAGTCATTTATTTTTAGTTATTCATTAGTCATTCATTATCTAGATATTGTGAAATGTATTGTCAAGCGATGTTAAAAATATGACAGACAAACAGAGATCTATAGCTAGTATTATGTAAGTGGAGGCCCAAATAAACCACAGGAAGAAGATCAATCATGAAACGGAGATGTCAAATAGGTACCGTGATAAGTTCCTAGACTCACCCAGGCGGGGGCAGTCATTCGATGATTTTCCCCCCTTAAAAAAAAAAAAAAAAAAAAAAAAAAAAAAAGACTCGAGGTGTGGCTAATAGTGGCTATGAACTATGAACTTGCTAAAGAGACTGTATCAATAGAATGGTATAAAAGGATTTGGATATCGTCAAGGAAGTATGTATTGAGATATCTGGTACCTATATTAGATTATTTGATTTCTTAAATTCCCAGTCGGTATAGCACAGAGGTTGGTATTGCTTCTGATGGCTATATTACATTAAGATACGTTTTTACGGGAAAATCATCGAATGACTTTTCCCGCCTGGGTGAGGTGAGAGGGAGTGTCAGAGTCTTACAAAAAACAACCCCGTTCCTACTCCTGCACTTCAAGACGGAGCCCCGGTAACCCGTTAGGTTCTCCGCGGCATATTAAGATACGTTACGTTGTTCTAAAATTAACAGTTACTTTTTTTAGCACTAAGTTTTTCTCCTGTGTGTGCATTTACAAACATACAAGTTCACATACACATGACACACAGACCAGGAACAACAATCTGTGGATCACATAAAGAGTTGTTCCGTGCGTGCGGTAATCGAACCCGCGACACGTTTTGCGGCAGCCAGTTGCCCAGTAACCGCGCCAACGGTGTCGACATTACCTATGCAGACTTGCCCATTAACACATTATTTCATGGTTTATACTGACTACCTCGTTGGCCAAGTGGTCGCAAGTGGGACTGCCGGGCAAGGGGTCTCGGGTTCCATTCCCGGGTCGGGCAAAGTGTTACTGGGTTTTTAAAAAAATCTCAGTAGTAGTGCGGAGTCTGGAATTGTGCCCCGGTATATGGCAATAGGCTCACCCCCTATTACATAGAACTCATAATATAAATAGTGAAAAGTGGGTGTTACATTGTACAGTGGCATAATATGCACCTCTGCCTACTCCTTCGGGGGTAAAAGGCGTGATGTTATGTTATGTGTATTGTTTATAACTTTATACTTACGAGACTAGGACAATATACATGCAACGTTATAATGAACTTGCAACCTTGTGTGGGATCACATGTCATGTGCAGTGACGTCACAACTCCATGCGCCCGCGCAAGTTCAGAATTCTTCTCTCATTTACGTTGTTAAAAAGAATTAAATGAACATCCGTAATGCTTGCATGTGGACGGTCGTTAGCGGGTTCGATTCTAGACTGTTTATTTGGTGTAATATCTGAAGAATGTTTGTAAGTGTTAAGTATGTCTCTTTTTAGACATAAAGAAATGAATTAGATATTTATGATTTAAGATTGTAATTGTGTTCTTATGGAGCTCTATGAGACAATGTTGATAGATCAGGTCAAAATTTGAGGTATAAATAATCTATACATAATAATATAATGGAATAAATACATAAAAACAAATTATACCTCTTTTCAAATAGTTGGTCATAACATCACGCTTTTTTTATCCCCGAAGGGGTAGGCATAGGTGCACATTACGGAACTTAAGGACGCGTTTACGAATCTAACAAAAATAAGCAGTTTTTCGGTGGTTTTTGCGGCAAAATAATATAGAATCAAATGTAACTAAAAATGACCACAGATAGATTACTTCTTAATCTTCAAATGGTAGTAGTTTTTTATTTGATAATTTTGGTTTATAATATTGTAAAAAATAATTCTGTTGCCTCTTCACACAAAATTGACGAAATCGTGCTGACTTGAGGATCATTTTTCTTTTATTTAATAACACAAATATAATTATTTAAAAATATTTTACGTAAGCAGATATGTCCAACTCAAAAAGGTAGAAAAAAAATCTATCAAAATGTTACAAATAGGCTGAAAACAAAAGTAAAATCGAATCTTATTTTTACACATTATTAGCCGTAACGAAAGATACTTATTGGATTGAAATAAGGGTTATTTTCCTGGTCACTAGACTTGATTTATTGCACAAAAATTTGTAATGAAATTTTAGTTTGCGCTCGGGCGCCGTCGTGAGTGGACACTGTGTCGCTTGTAAGCAGCTCCTCGTTTACGAAAATATCGCTGTACGAACACAAAATATTTGCCCTACCAAACTTGATACTTCACGCATTCTGCACCGACTACAGACAACCAAGGTAAGATTTTATACACAGTTTCATATACTTATAGGAATATAGATTTCATATTTAGTTTTGGACTTGATGGAGTGACCTGCAGGTGTACTTCGAAGACTGCTACTGGAACTAATAGACGAGTGGAGCTAGGTGTGCCGAGTTTGGGCTCGTTTTGTTAGTTATGTTGAGACCTTACCTCCGGACTTGATGGAGTGACCTGCAGGTGTACTTCGAAGACTGCTACTGGAACTAATAGACGAGTGGAGCTAGGTGTGCCGAGTTTGGGCTCGTTTTGTTAGTTATGTTGAGACCTTACCTCCGGACTTGATGGAGTGACCTGCAGGTGTACTTCGAAGACTGCTACTGGAACTAATAGACGAGTATATATTCTGCTATTTCAATATTTTTTTTTTTTTAGATGCCAAAGCCTAAGACGTTCGGGAAAAGCTCGCGGAAGAAAGTTTACGCCTGTAGACGTAACTTAGAAAAAAGATTTCGGTTAGTACTTATATGATTATTAAAAATACATAAATGATTGAAATTATTTAATGTCATAAGATCTTTTTTCTTATTTTTTTTTTTACAGGGGAAAAGACTTGTGTCTTTGCTATTTGGACGGGCCCTGGAAAAATTAAATATGAATTTATAGCCAAGGACGATCAATTCTGGAAGGAGAATATGGAAACACACTTAATTCGATTCTATAAGAACTGTCTCCTTCCCGAATTGATCGATCCAAGATTCAAAAGAAACATGGAACTACGGGAACATTCATCCCATTGTCATAATAATATATTGAAAAATAAAAATTTATAAAAAAAAAGTTTCTTGTTTTTCTCTACCCTATTCCACACTACCCTACTCCTCAAACAAAGCCTAAACACTTGGTTTGGATTGGTGAGCCAAAAAAACGAGCCCAAACTCGGCACACCTAGCTCCACTCGTCTATTAGTTCCAGTAGCAGTCTTCGAAGTACACCTGCAGGTCACTCCATCAAGTCCGGAGGTAAGGTCTCAACATAACTAACAAAACGAGCTCAAACTAGAAAAAAAAAAAACTGTCAATCCATGAAATCTTTGAATGATTACTGAAATCCATGAAGTGATTACTAATGAAAATGGTTACAAAAGTATACATATAATATACTTTTGTAACCATTTCACGTTACAAACCAAATCAAAGTTAACTTAAAAAAAACATTGCAAAATTAAATAAAAATAACTCAAGTATCAAGTCGTGTCAGTTTACACATAATTTCGCCGCTTCGCGCATTTCGCTGTGTGTGTGTGACATGCACGTGTAGTAGTAAGACTCAATACCTAAAATTGAAGCGCGTCAATTCGTAAACGCGTCCTTAATGTCACTGTGAAATGTAACACCCACTTTTCACTATTATTGATGTTACGAGTCCCGTGTAATAAGGGGCCTTATGCCATATACCGGGCACAATTCCAGACTCCGTGCTACTACTGAGAACTTTTTGCCTTATCGGGAATCAAACCCGAGACCCCTTGCCTTGCCCGGCAGTCGTAATTACGACCACTCGGCCAACGAGGCAGTCATATGCTGGTCAACACTCCAAAGATAGAAGGTACCTACTCATAACCAAAACCATTAACGAGATAATCAAACTCATACTTATTTCGCCTCACTCTAGTTAGCGTGTTTGTTTAAATAAATTACATGAAATTACAAATCGTTATTACAATGGTACGTAATAATACGTATTGTACTTATTTATAATAATCTATGCGAGCAATTTGTTTTAATGTAAAGTGTAGCATCTTAGTTAGGCACGGTATACACTCTCGGAATGTGTCTTAAATATTTATGGGTGTTATAAAATATGTTTGTTTCTTTGTTTGTATTGCTTTTTTGGTTTTTTAGAGCTGGGTTTTGTCCGATTCCTGTGGTGATGGTAATGTAGATAGATGCTAGGTACGTTGCAGCCCGAGACTGTCCAGGGTGCTTACTCTTGAAACCAATCTCAATTTCAATCCAATAAAATCTCAATAATTATCCAAAGTCAAAACTATACAACCACAATCGTAGCTGTTAAAGTAGCATTCAGAGAACAAAATATTAAGCCAAACTCAAATTCATTTAGTTAATGAAATATCCACGTATTACGGATGCAATGGGCGCTAGTGTTGCAACTCAAGAGTACGAAATTTCACAATGTCAATGTCGATCGATCGGAATTGGGTTCAAGAGTGAGCCCCCAGGTTTGGATTATAGGCCTCTGCATAAGAGGGTTTGACATGTATTATCTCCAACTTTACCAATCGAGTGAGACTGTTGATACCCTTTTTTTAAGGGGGGAAGAATGCAATGACTTCTCACGCCCTAAGTGAGGCGAGACTCTTACTGATAAAAAATCGTTCCGTTCTTACTCTTGCTTTGAACCGGAGTGGAGCCCAGATAACCCGTTTAGTTGTCCACAGCTCTGGAGCTGTGTGCAACCGGCCATCGGTACCAGAACCGTTGATTCCCTTAAGTTGGTTCTACGACACTCGTAGAAAGAGGTAACTGGAGACAAATCTATGCTCATCACGTAAAATTTTATTTTGTTTTTACAAAAGTATGACACATACAGTCTGGCAAACGAAAGTAGAGACTGAAAAAGCCCGGCAAATTTAAAAAATATCAGTATAGCAACCCAAAAATTAGTATGTCATACCTGGAGTAACCTAATTTGATACTTTATAATAATTTGTTTGTTTGTTACGTCTTCACGTTTGCCAGACTCTATTGTAGTTACTGAGTTACTGACTTGCCAGTATAACAATATAACTCTTAACGCCTATTTCAGCAATTAATTTTTATTAATAATAGGTAAAGTAGTAGTATAGTAAATAATTAAATAACCTCGCTTTTATGTTACACAAGACTTAAAATACATAATCTACACATTTCAACGAGTAGAAAATAAAGAACCGACAGAAAAATATATTTTTAGGCATTTCGACATTTTTTTGGATCAATTGTAATAATGTATTTTCTGTTACCCATAATTGTGTGTGTAACTAGCCTTATGATTTCCATAGTTCGTTCTAAGTTCAAACCATTTAAATATGGCGTAAAAATAATGCGTTCAAAATAAGTGTTTATGTAATTTAATCATAAAAATTAGAGGTCAGTTAAAGCTATCAATTTTAAGTAAGTATAATATTAAGTAGGTTCCTATTACCTATCTCGGCAGGTACTTATCTTCTTAGATGCTATAAAATTAAACTGAATATTTGTAAATGATAAAACTGACCTTTTAATCACAATAATATGAAATTGTAAAGACTTCTTGTTGTTGTAGCCTCTACTCTAATTAACTTAGGTACTTATGTCAACGGATTTATATTTGTATTATAAATGTATTAAGTAGGCCACAGAAATATTAAAAACTTCTTTCTTATATCTATGGTATAATAAAGAAGTATGCATAGTCATCTCCATGCCTCTGTGACTACTCCATACTAAAATAAAAAGCTTCAGTCCAGAATACCATCTTCCATAATTATAATTGACAGAAACAGACGTCCATTAAAAATAATACAACAATGCTTTTAATTTCTTCCACACATAGACAAACAATATGGAAGATACATTATCTACTTATTTCAAATATCGAACACACTTTATTAAAAATGCACTCAATTCTTCATCACGAAATCAAACTAAGAATCCTTCTGCCCAAAATATCAAAATTATATCTTAACGCAACGCATATAAAGTTTAATATTCATTAACACTCTTCTAGTTTATTTATGAGTCCTTTCTTTTTTTAAATGCTAATGAAACGTCAAAGGGTGTAGGGTAACAGCACCAGTTGCTGGCCATGAGTCAAATGTGGAAGAATAAAAATTCAATTGCTTTAGATCACGATATGTTTACGTTTCATGTTGTTTAGATGAGTTAATTGGGCGTTGCTCGTTTGTTACGTTATTTTGGTAATGGCTTGTTTCTTTTGTAATAAACTTTTTCGTTTGTAATAAACTTTTGGTAATTGATGTTTACTTCATTATGTTAAGTGGTTGATAAGGATAATTTCTACAAATGATTATAGAGGAATTTAAAATAGCAAAGTCTACGTGAAAAAGGCGTGTAAGCAAAAGCAAAGCAAAGTATATGAAATTTTTTTTATGAGTAATACTTAAATTACATATTACAATTATTGACTCGACGTCGACAATTTCGTCCGTGGTACCTAACTAGATTGATGAGGTGGCAAAATCATTACTTTTAGGCTTTTAGGTACTTGGATCATTAACAAAAACAATTAATTTAAAATCATCTCGTCCGAGTAATACACCTCTCACCCTACTACTTTTATGACGCAACAACAACAGCTGCATTTGATTCGTCAATGCATATTTTGATGGATCGACAGACAATCAGATTTAAAAAGTATCGCAACCGTTTAACTAAAATAATAGACACGTGTCAAAGATGATACTACTTTAGTGAAAAAGCTAACATCACACCTATTTATTTCCCGTAGGGTTATACAGACAGTTTACATACAACATTTTTTGTCATTAACATAGGAACCTAGTCCATGCACTTTAAGTCAAATTTATGCGATACCTTTTTTATGGCATAAGCCGGTAAACGAGCAGACGGATCACCTGATGGTAAGCAATCGACGTCGCCCATGGACAACCGGAACACCAGATGCGTTACAAGTGCGTTACCGGTCTTTTGGGAATTAGGAATTTTAGGATTGTTAAGGAAACTGTTTGCACCACCCAAAGGTGGCTTGTTATGACTGATATGCTACCAAGTATTTATTCGCCAATTAACATCAGGTGCCACCCGTCATGGTGTTTATGGGGTAAACGAGCAAACGGATCACCTGTTGGTAAGTAATCACCGTTCCGATGGACATCCGCAACATTGGAAGAGTAAGAAGTGCATTGCCGACCTTTTAAACAACAGTACCTAGCTTAATATCTAGCTACGCTAAATTAATTAAAAATTTACATCGCGACATCGCCGTGACTATGCACGCTGCTCATAAGGAAGAGCCCCTCTGTGGCTCGAAACTAACTGAGCTTATCTCAGCATTTCCACGTAAGTAACCCGCGATTTTTAGTTAAATTAATACCTATGTCTTATGATAGTTACTTACTATAAAGTAGGTACGCTACGCTCATTTCTTTGAGGTTTAAAAATGAAATAGGACTCCAACCAAGGGTCAAAAAAACTGGGAAAAAAAGGGTTTTAACTTACCATTCCCCTCAATATAGCACGGTAACAACACTGTATCGTTTTCATAAGTTTTTACAGTCACTGGTACACTTTTAAATGGCTTCTCACTTTTCACTGAGTTTCGTATGAACAATAGTAACATTAGACACGTGAAAAACTTCATTTTATTGTCTTTTAACAGCTAAATTACCTACGAAAGTGTAAAAATTTGGTTTATTTCGCGTTTCCTTTAGTCTAGCAAAAACACATTGTTTTTGTCTAGACTAACTTATGTTGTTATATTATTCTTTGTTCTCATTTAAAATACAATTAATCAAAAATGTCAATTCGCCAATTCATCATATCGGACAATAATTATCTATATGTATATAATCGAATAGAACTAATTTACTTCAAAAATAAAACACGTCTTCTTAAGAAAAAATGGATCATAAGCTATCAGTTACAAAAAAAGCGCGCCGAATTTGATTTAGGAACAAAATTAATTGGTACCAAAGAGGACGGATGTACTGCACAGTGAATAAATTCAGTTTTTTTTTGTATTGTCTGTGTTTCGTCTACTGGTATTATAGGATTTACGGTCTACCGCCTATACTGTAGCGCTTTGCCATTAATTAGACTTTTTTACATCAATTTCCAAGTTACAAAACGCAGCTTCATTTCGTAAAAAAATGGTTTCCGATTGCCCCTATTCCCAACGATTTAAAAAGTAATAAAATCAAATACAAGTACTTTTTTCACTTAATTAATAGTTTAGAGACAAAACAAAATTAATTTCATTTATTAAAAGATGAGATCACAGAACACTTACGACGTTTTAATTGAAATTAAACGGAAATCGTAAATTGAAAACAAACGGGATAGTTTTCTATTAATTCGTCTTGTTTCCGAACGCGCGCGTCTTGGCGGGAAACCCGAGTGGAACTGTCATAGCTGGCGCATGCGCCCGACGCGCGGCTCAATGATTATTGCTTGGGGTGGAGACACAATGAGAGGAAGTTTGTCAAAATATTTTAAATGTAATGATTAAATTTTTTCTAAACATTTTTTTTGTTATGTATTCCAAGTTGATTAAATAAAAATATTATCATCATATGTACCAATTTGATTGACATTGTAGCGAGATGTTATGGTTTTTATGATTATACAACTTACAAGGTAATCAGCTGTGTAAATATTTAGTTTAGCCTAAATGTTACCTTACTATTTTCTTTTGTGTCGTTAGTATGAGTACCTATATTATACCTATATTAAAATAAACTTTATATACTTACCTATACCTAGATACATTCTATCTAGACTTGAACCGAGTAAGAAACAATAATTGAACTGGCGACACGTGCTGCAGCTGGTTGTTGAGCCACAGAAACAGAACAGAGCGTGCGTATTTTTATAATTTAATGAGTCTCTATCTCCTCCACCTTGTTGGCCGAGTGATTGTAAGTGCGACTGCCGCGCAAGGGGTCTCGGGTTCAATTCCCAGGTTGGGAATTACTGTTTTTTTTTAAATCTTAGTAGTAGTATATGAAGTCTGGAATTGTGCCCGGTATATGGCAATAAGCTTCTTCCCTATTACATGGGACTCATAACATAAATAGTGAAAAGTGGGTGTTACATTGTACAGTGACATTAAGTGCCATAATGTGTAAACCTCTGGCTACCCCTTCGGGGATAAAAGACGTGATGTTATGCTATGCGTATTTCCGTACGTTTAGGCGCTTTTGCCATACCTATTATTGGAAGCAAGTATAGTAGTAAGCTCACACATAGGACCCACTTAGTTTTTAGTCAAATTTCCGTGATGCTTAGCGACTGGGCTTCACCTAGTTGTACAGTCTCTTCTTTGTGCCTTTAGGCTTAATTCATTCTGTCTCCTGCAGTAATGCACCGAGGGAAGTGGAAACTATAGTTTTTTCTTCTTCTCCTCTTATACCTCTACTATCTTCTGATTCAATTCGTTGCGGGAACCAAGACAGTTACTCATGTCCCTGGGACGCGCCGGACTTCAGTGTTCCGGTGTTTTCATGGTTGTATCTACTGTAGATCCTGGCTTACAGGAGTTGCAGCGGTTTTGGGAGGTTGTGGCGGGCTTGTCCCATAAAAAATGCGTCTCTATAGTTATTATACTAATTTTAAGATATTTTTTTACGTAGAACTACCTTTAAAAGTTTAACTTTACCTTCAGTTTGCAAAATTTATGAAGATTTATCGAGTAAATAAAGTGCAGATAAAAGTTAACAAATATATTTTCATATTTATAATATTGGTTGGTACCAAACTCAAATCCTCGTGTTTCGAAGTCATTCTAAAAAGTATTCGCTCCCATTGTGTCCCGATCTTTATACGTATCCAGTCAATTAATGTACCACCTTTAATTTAAGCGAATGGATGAAAGACAAGACTATGAACAATTACTTACAATGTACATATCTAAGATATCATATCATGTTATATCATCATCAGATCATTTAGAAGGAAGTTGCTAATAAGGTACAGTCATATTGAGTGTAGGTACCTACTAAGTGTATTTAAAAAAAATGCAACATTTCAATCATCGAGTCAAATAAATGGATAGATCAATAAGTTCATTCGTTCACAATCATGTAAGTTATGCATTACGCACATTCCTCACACACTGAAGCGAGAGGGAGTGTCAGACTCTTCAAAGTCAAATTCAAAGCATTTGTTTCAAATAATCCTTAATTATTCACTTTTGAAACGTCAAAAATTTACAAATTATAATAATTGAAATCCTTACTAACAAAATACGATCCCGTCCTGCTTCGACCCGAAGTTCTGGTGGTAACCCTTGTCTGTAGCCTCGGTATAGGAAAATACTTACGGACCTCTCTATCCCCCCTCTTCGAGGCATAAAAATCATAATGTTATGTTACAGTAGGTACCACCCAGCCATTATAATACCAGCCCACACTACATCATTAATGTTGCGTCACTACAACATTTTCAACACCTACATTCTCACATAATAAAGAGGCAAATAAAAACACTATAATAAAAATATATTCGATAACACAAATCTAATCCAGATCAATAAAAATAATTATAAAATTCAGTGCAGTTAAAATCGAGCTAATGCAATGGTTCCGTATCAACCACAGATGGTATTAAAACAGGTAACAACAACAGTCTATCACGAACACGATCCACTGGATTATTAGCAGTAGCGTAACTACAGGAATTGTTTATGTAATTTGATATAGGTAGATAGGTTATGTACAGCTGTATTATTAGACTTCATGTTCACTCATTATTTATAATCGAGATTGTTGTGTACGATTTAAATTTGTCGTCTGTATCTGTACTTATGTAAAATAAATAAATAAATTAAAATACAGGGTGGCAATCAGGCAAAATGCAACAGGCCCCCAGTTTTCATCTAAACTTCTTTATTTTTTATAGGGGACGGGGGCCCATCCGAAGAATTTGCCACGAGCCCCGAACGGTATTACGTCACTGTTCATGAGCACTTTATGCAACAACTATAAAACAAGAGGATTTGCCATAATCTCCACGTACTCCAGGAGAGGTAGAGATTACAGTTTAAAAGGTTCAGGATTATCGGATAGCGCTGCTACTATGTGTCTTGGTGGCCTAGATGTTTAAGAGGCCCGCTTCTCATGCATGAGGGTACGGGTTCGAAATCTACCAACGGCAAGTACCAATGTGACTTTTTCCGAGTCATATGTACTTTATAAGATTATCTAGACACCACTGACAAACGGTGAAGGAAAACATCGTGAGGAAACCTGGGCTTATAATTTCTAATTATAAGTCTGTAATCGCCAACCCGCATTGAGCAAGCGTGGTGATTAATGTTCAAACCTTTCTCTGTGTGAGAAGAGTCTTTGCTCAGCAGTGGGTATTTATAGGCTGTTGATGATGCTGCTACACGGTCTCTGACAGAAGTAAAGGTTCCATAGTCAGCTTCTACTCCTCGGGACGAGTAGAAGTGGTGGAAAATGTATTTTTTTTTATATTTGATGAGCCGACGTTTGACCTGTATCTCGCCTTGTGGTAAGCGATGGTGCGACCTACGATGAAGCACGTCGACTATTGCATTATACTCCACTCCACCGTCACCACACAACAATGTATTTCTGTGTGGTCAAACATTCTACCCTTAATTACTTTAATAAAAAATAATGAAGCGAAAGAGGTATGTAAGAATCGTAGTAATTGGCGTTCCTTAGTCTCTGCCTACCCCCATGGGAGACAGGCGTGAAATTATGTATGTATGTATGTAAAAGATAATCATTGACCACCTCTTACCGAACTCTAAAATCCAAAGATCACACTTGAATATCTTAATTAACTCGATTCATCGATTCAAATCCAATACCTGTATCGAGTCGAGCATCGATACAATAAAGTGATCTAATGAAATCGATACGTCAAATCGCTTCCACACTTTAATGATCATCATTGTTCGGAGTTCATTATGGATAATGATTATTTAATTAGGCATTAAGATGAAGTGAGTGCGGCAGGTGATATAAAACTGTATTAATGTTTTTTTCTTATGCTAATTAGGTAATTTTTCGAGTTTACCTACTACTAGATATTGAGTAGTTTAGAGTTGAATTGAGTTCGATTGAAGAAGTAAGTAATTCCGAAAATGATTGAAATTGGTGACTGTCCGCCTGCATTGGTGGTCAATTTTTTTTTAAATACTTTGCCTCACACTAGTATTTTGTCATGTGTCGTGGCTGCGTTTACAATCCTACAAGTTTACATTCACATCTCAACCAGTCCCGAAACAAAAATTTGTGGATCACACAAAGTGTAGCTCCGTGCAGGAATCGATCCCGCTACAGGTTGCGCGGCAGCCGGTTGCCCAGCCACCGCGCTAACCGTGCAGTTTGTGTAATTAATATGTATAAAATATAGATAGATATTTGCAGGCCGTTTTAGACATCAATGTTGAAATCCCTAATCTCCTAAAGACCGATAATGCACTTGTAACAGCAGAAACCTACACCTCTGGTGTTACCTATACCTACGGGTGTTTGCTCCGTGTGCTCGTATCTCCCTTTCCTATACCATGACAAAAACACTAACCTAACCTTGGACTTTCGAAAAAATGGGGCAATGGAGGCAGTACCGTCTTTACCATAAGGGGCCCAGTCGGGGCCCGTGCACAAGGCCTCCATACTCCGGGGCCCCGAAGAACCGACAATTTTTACGATGGACATACACCCGCTACACGTTGCGTGGCAACCGTGTATTTTGTAGTTGGTTGGATTCCAGCAAGGACATATCTTTTTGTGCTCCAAAAATTGTTGTTTGGTTTAAGTTACAAAAAACATTTCAAAAGGGCCCCGTATTATTGTGTCCAAGGGCCCCAGCGTAGTCTGAGACGGCCCTGCATGGAGGGCAGTAGCACCCTTAAAATTTGCGGTTCTAGACTTGTATCTGCAAAGCGTGAGAGTGACACATTCCTAATTCCTGAGGGAGTGTCCTTTGATAATAACCTTTCATCTTAAGTTAAATATTATTCAATAACAATAATGGACATCAATTGGGAATCCAATAAACTATGTTTACTTTATAATTGAGCAAGGCAAAGAAAGGTCAAAAAATGATGTTCTGAAATTGGTCCAGCCAAGAACGGCTATGCTGCTTAAACAATATATTTATGTACATATTTAAATACCATTAAGAAACAACATAGGTAACAATAGGTATTGGACTTATACAGTCGCCAATTGTAGGTTAATCAACTTTACAATAAAGTGATAAAAAAAACTATACAACAACAATAAGATTGTTTACACCAAAAGTTCTGTACATATTACACATGGCAACTGTTTACATCATCAGCAGCATGTAGGTAACTATCCAACTGCTGAAAAGGTCTTTTCCCACACGTAAAAGGCATAAGCATTAATCACCACGCTTGCTCAAGACGGATTAGCGGATGCTAACTTATTTTGAAAATATCATGATCTATAACTTCACTGTACCTATAAATGTATGTCTATGGTATTTGATATATCTTAGAAAGGTCCTACTTACAACTCTAAATACAAAAAGTAACTTTTGGTACTTGCCAAATGCCAGGTTTCGGACCAACACCGTCATCAGCGACTGGACGCCGTCACCTTCGGCACGGTGATATATGATATTATTACCGTGCCTTCGGGCCTACATGACTAATTACTTTGTTTACATGGTTTCATTTACATATTCAATTAAATACTTTATTAAAAGTATTGTAACAAAGATATTAAAGAGCTTTATTTATTTACTTCGTTTTTCTTATGACAGTCATTAAATCCAATTAAGGATATAGCTTGATTATCTATGACTTTGTGGAGTTAATTACGTATTAAAATTGAAATTAATATCCCCTAATTTGTGTTCGTATGATATTTTTAACTGTATCATGTTTTTATTAAAATGTAAATAATTTAAACTAGTGATAATGGCAAAGAGAGTGGGCAGAATTCTAATAATCGACTATCAAAATAAGAAAAATTAACAACAATAATTATACTAAACTATTTAGAACAAACAAAAAATGAAATCTAATCCGAATTCCGACCCTTAACAATGTGGTATGACCAATCATAAAAACTTATTTTATTTATTTATCTGTTAACACAATTAGGCGGGATATAATATTACTGGCTGCTAACGAGTTGCCTTCTTTATATTTATGATATTAGATGGCCCTTGAGGCAACGGCGATGAAACGAGGTTGTGAATTGGCTGTATAGTGCATCGTCTGTGCCTTACAAATGAACTCAATTTAAAATGTTTCGGGATAGATAATAAATAGTTATGGCTTATGGGCGACGCGGGCTAAAGTGGAAATTATTACGTTTACTTGAATAAAAAATCATTTATAATAAATGTTATTTCATAATACAGTGTCCAAATATGCATAAAATAATATTTAACCACGAGAATTTGAATTTTATACAATTTAAAAAATAAACAGAATATAAAATGGAAAATTTATATTTTCAATTTCGATTCGTTTTGATGTCTTGTTTTGATAGCGGAAAGGTTATTATAGATAATATAACCGCTTCTTTTGTCAAAAATAAATAAATATGTGGCTCGACTTATGTAAATAAAAAGTATTTATTATTTTATAAGTAATATCGTATATCGTTATGATACTCCTCGAAATATTTTTATGTCATACGTAGGTTACACGAATACTTAGTCACACCAGTAGTGGAGTTACAAATGCATTACCATCCATTGAAAGAAAGGTGAAAAAATAATCAGAGTATAAGACGCAATAAATCTGCCGGTAAATAGTTCTCCCTTGACGATAGTACCTTTATAAATAAGTACCTAGGTACCTATCAATAATGCTTGCTCTGAACTTTGCCCTCTGTTCTGTAGGGTCACAATCACAAGTCTTTGACATGTTTCCATTCTCCCATATACAGCGGGTTACAAGAAATGATTACATCTGTTTATCTGACTGCTTCAAATGAGAGTTATTTATTTAGAATTTTCTTTGTTTAGGTAAATAAACAAGTATGAGATGTTTGTCTGTCTTTAATATTTCTGTGGTCTTAAGGCTTTGATACGACTGTATACTTTACTTTTGAATTGCCACTAACAATCTCTTATTTCTATCTAAGTAGTTTCAAGTGTGGGAGAGCCATGCTTCGGCATGAATGGGCCGGCTCGACCGGAGTGATACCACGGCCTCACAGAAAACCGACGTGAAGCAACGCTTGCGTTGTGTTTCGTCGTGTGAGTGAGGTTACCGGAGGCCCAATTACCCTCCCAATCTCCCCAATCCCTGAATTCCCAACGATCCTCAAATTCATAATCCCCAAAAGGCCGGTAACGCACTTGTAACGCCTCTGGTGTTCCAGGTGTCCATGGGCGACGCCGATTGCTTACCATCAGGTGGTCCGTCTGCTCGTTTACCGGCTTATGGCATAAAAATAACAATCGATATTGCGCCGAGTCTCAATCTCAACTTAAAAATAAAACAGGTTAGGTAAACAATAATAATAATAAAACAAATTAACATCCATCTTAGGAGGCTGGCATTAGGTGGATGGATCAAGGACTTGATACATTAGGCAGTTCTCCAAGAAACGGCACGTATCGTGAGGAGGTTTCTGTCTCTGGAGCCCTAACCACCACTAGCTTGGACCATACTCTCGCTACTGGTCGGTTCCTATTTTTTATTTTTTAAATACAATTTTATTGTTGTTTTTTTTTAAGTAGTATTTAAAAATGTAATTGATGGAGAATGTTAAATTAATATATGGATATAAAACAAATTATTTAATTTGTTTCAAACTAAATTCCAGTGAAATGAATTTCCTTGGAGAACTGAGAACACCCATACAAATCGTTATTGTAAATAGTGATTTGTTAAATTCTATTGTGTGATAGGAGCGAGGAAGATGGCGGGAGTATAACCAGCGACAAGCGATCAATTCATCATCACAAGACGAGCGACACTTTGTCCATGACTTAGGCAAAAGTAATCATTTCATTCAGCCTATTAATAAATTTTATTTTTAGATCTTTAGTTGGGCCCTAAGAAGGTGGCCTGTAATTATATTTTTTTTCACGTGATGGTGGTAGTTTTCGCTTACTGAAGTCGCATTCGTCGCCTCGCCTATTACAACATCGCGTTTGTATGTCTGTATTAACGCGAGAAACTCAAAAACTAGCAGAAAGTGTTTCTTACGGTCTGTGGGTGTGATTGCTGAAGAAGGTTTAAGTGTAAAAATTACGGTTTTGACCAGTGAGGCGAAACTGCAGATGGAAAGCTAGTTGATTACATTTTAACATCACTTTATAAGTGGCTTAGGGAACAGATACAGTACCGTCTTTACCATAAGGGCACTCGGTGCCCGTGCCCAGGGCCCCCATCCTCAGAGGGCCTCGAAGGACCCACAATTTCTACGACGGACACAGTTTCGGTTCGGACAATCGGACATGGTTCGATTCCCGCTTGATGCAAATCTTTGTGTGCTCCACAAATTGTTGTTTCGGGTCTCATGCATGTGTATGTGAACTTGAATGTTTGTAAATGCACCCACGGTACAGGATAAAATCCCAGTGTGAGGCAACGTTAAAAAAAATAAAAGAACAATTTCCAAAAAGGCCCTGTGTTATTTTGTGCCCAATGGCCCCAGCGTAGTCTAAAACGTCCCTGTTTTTTGTTGAGGGAAAATCATTCAATGACTTCTTCCGCCTGGGTGAGGCGGAAGGGAGTGTCTGACTCTTACTGACTAAAAACCACCCCGTTCCTACTCCTGCACTTCGAGCCGGAGCCCCGGCAACCCGTTACGTCTTCCGCGGCTCCGTATCGGCATCAGCCTTGTTGGGTGGTCTGATGGCTTCTTGAGCCGCGCGCAGAACGCGACGCGCTGTCCGTACGCTCGGGCCTGGTTCTGGTAGGGCGGCGAGTCACCCATGCTTACGGTGCAGGCCCGTGCTTATGGCCGGAGATCGTCTCGTGAGTCTAAGACGGCCCTGGACAGAGAGACAAATAATATTTGAAAGTAAGTGATAACTAAGTACTGTAGGTAGCACCCATGCAAAACCGGGGTATATCGGTAGTTACCTTGTAATGCAACTTTTGGATATTAATTTTATAAAATAAAGCACGTTTTGAGGTCAACGTACCCGCACGTGTTAGTTCTGCCGGAGTCTAGGTGTTTGCAGTTTCAATAGCTGACGATGCATCGCTTGACAATACGAAAACTGCTGATTGACTTTAGCCATACTGCACCGTATGTCCAAACTTCAGGTGTCAGGTTACCTATTTCTAATTACGTTTAGGTACATAACGAAAAGCCGTTAACGAATAAGCAGGTTGTACATACCTTGACATTATTTAAAGCCATGCCTAAATATTTACTTAATATTTTATTTATTTTTTGATACATATTTAAGTTCAAAGGAATGAGCTCAGGTACACAGTGGACTCATATCCAATAAAATACGTGTATTTCGCTAGTTATACCTAAATCCTATATTTGTAGCATAGGGAAAGCTATAAACAGGGCACTCATAATAATTGAAAAATGCTATTTATTACTCAGAATTATCGAAAATAAAATTCTCTCTATCAAATATGGGTATTGAAGAGGGTTTCTACTTTCTTCAATAAACTAGCAAAATTATTGAAATAAACCTCAAATATCAAATCATACTTATGTTATCTCATATTTTCAGATACTTTCATGATATTGATTGTATCGGTGGTTCACCGTGGTTCAGCATTTTCAGGTTTTGTTACTTGCTTTGGTATTTGAGTATTGAGTAGTACACACACCGCCATCTATTGATTCATGAAGTCAACAGCCAATGAACAAACTTATGATTGAAATTTTACTTTAATAATATAAAATTAATAGCTTTAGTTGTTAAATAATGATGTTCATTGATTTTATTTTATGAATATTTTCATTTTAAAAATTCAAGAAAAATGTTGCTAATATTCAATTTATTTATGGCAATTAATGATTACGAAATAGTTATTCGCCACTGGCAATCTTTTTACAAAATGTCCGACAGTAATAATCAAAAGTCAGATTCGGAACCTAGCAGTAAAAAAATTAAAATTGACCATGAAAGTGGGAATAATGTGAGTGGAATTCATTTGCAATTAAAAGACTTTATATTGGAGAAGATTTTAAACAATAACACTAATAGAAAAACAGTGTGTGTGCTTGGAAAATTCAAAGACAAAAGTGGCGTGGCTTTGGTTATTTTAGAGAAAAATGCTTTCAAGGAAGAAGATTTGGACAATGAGGGCTACTTTTCCGTAGATACAGAGTTGAAAACGTTCTTCGAGAACGATATCTACGGGAACTACGAGTGTTTCCCTCGGTCCTCAATTAATGGTGAGTGACATTCTCAGAACTCAAGGTTTTTATTGTTTTCCTTAGGTATTAGTCATCAGCTCGATTGAAGAGTATTTTTGGTCGAATTTCGTGACTCTCACATTTGATACAGTCTACATAGCATCTTAAAAACGTGTTATTTAATCGTATCAAACAATAGATGTTAAGAAATCGCCTTACGTCACGCAGTTGCACCATATGGTAGCTATTTTTTTTTTCGTCATTTAATAAAGCAGTCGCCTTTGAGTTAATTGCTTGTGACGATGCCCGTCTCACGGGCAGTCGGGTCAGATAAGGTACGATAACTAATAATTACGTTTTTATCTTATTTTTCTTAAGAAAAATGTGATTTTGCCTTTGTGTAAGGTGATTTTTAATGTTCATTGCTTGAGAAATGGTCATGTAGATAAAAATATCATTATTGTGTCTTGTATTGGAAGGAACCTCCTTTCACTCGAGTTTACTACAGTTAAAGCTAAATAGTGGTAAAACATGAAAAGTTTTTAGTTGTTTTTCTATTTACACCTGAATACATTTACCAGATGTTATTGCTCAAAACATATTGTAGTGTTATTAACATAATGTTTATTTGTTTAGTGCAGTAGCTATAAGAACACTTACATAGTGTTAAAGCTATTAAGGTACTGTTACAAGTGTTCTAAAACAGCATGCTAAAAGGCGTTATATTGAGTATGCTCAAAAATAAAAAAATAGAATGCCCGTCATGTCTCAAGCATGCCCGAAATTATCATGCCCGAAATTACCATGCCCGAAATTATCATGCCCGAAATTACCATGCCCGAAATTACCATACCCGAAATTACCACGCCCGAAATTATCATGCCCGAAATTACCATGCTGATTATAAACAACATTCACACACATGCTCCCAAGTGACTTTGTCAATTGATGAATGATTCCATGCTTAAAGTTAGCATGTGTAACAATACCTTAATTTTAAAGTGGAAACGAAACAAAAAGGAAATGTATTCTTAAATTAAACTGTCAAACACCACGAGGACACTGGTGACCGCAACCTATTGTTCTTTGATTGTGTCTATAATGACTGTACTCGACGAGTTAAATATTCAGTGAGTTTTTCTGTCTGTATGGTCTGGATTATTACATAGTGACTGTCCCTGAGTGAAAATATGACTAGCCCTTATCGAGTTTGAAGTCTAACCTAACTTACATACTTAGGAATCCTCCTGCTTTATTTTGAAGTAGGTTAAATAGCCATGATACTTCTTAGTTTGACCTGTATGTTTTGTGTATCTTGTGATTGGCTGAACTGATTTTGATGCAGTTTTCAGAAAAGTGTTTGTGATACTTAAGAGAAGGTTTTAGTATCTTAAATAACCAACTTCTAAGGGTTGGAAGTTTTTTTTAAACATTGTAATATTTATAGTAGGGGAGCCCACGATGCTAAATTTGGATTTACTCGAGCGTCGTTGGAACTTACTGGATTTTAAAAATATGGTGATAGAAAGAAAAAATGGTTTAGTGACAATTTCTTACACCGGTGGGGGAAGGGGGAATCCACAGATCTTTGAATCTGTTACGCATAACTTTTGTTCTAGTGGTCGAGCGTGTCAGATATTGATAATGTACATGCTTCATGTGTCTTTGATAATAAAAAACTCTTAATCTGCCAGTTTGCATGGTGGAGTTGAATGATCTGGAGAGTACCAACGAGAACCCTTCAAAATCCCCCCACTCTTGCAAATCAAGTTGGAATGGGCACATTTTTTAAATACACTTCCTTTAGCATGGCATTGACCTACCTTCCCTTAATCTGACGAAACTGACTTTATTTAGTCAGACTTTTTTTTAATTTTTAGTCCCCCCTTTCTAATCAGATCGGATATATGGTAGGTATATCTGACGCGCTCGAGTAACTACCGAAATCCCTTCATGGGCTCCCCTACTATTAAGTACTTTATTCATCATTGTCAACATCAGCTTCCCATATGTCGGAATACTGAAACGCTACTCAATTTTAAGTCTAATTTTAAGTTAACTATAGTTCTGTTACCACTAATTCTTTGTAAAATGACTGAAATGGCACAATATTTAAGTACAACTTAAAATTGAATAATGTTAAGGTTCAGTATTCTGGCAATATTCACCCTCCTTTTCTACCATAAGTAGTGTGACCATTAAGGCAAAAATATGGGGGTTCCCTGGAATGTTTACCGGGAGTGTTGAAAATTGGCAATTTGATAGATTTTGATGTGCTCTTTCAAATTTTCTATTATGCACAGACAGATATATGTATTTGAAAAAACTGCCATTTTTTCAAGCGCAAGCAGCGTAGGTACATAATTTTAAAATGGTAATTGGTAAGAGCAAATCAAAATCTACAAAATCAACACTTCTGGAGAACATTCAACTATCTAATTACCAAACTAAATTCTCGAAATCAATATTTTTTAAATTCATGTTTCTTTCTCATTCCAGGTATAAAGACATCCATAATATACCCTGCTACAGAGAAGCATATTGCCAAGTTCAGCCAACAGGAGCGCCATATCGTGCTGGAAACTCCCGAGCTGTACCAGAAGCTCACACTACCTCATTTGGAGAAAGAGCAGTTTAATTTGCAGGTAATTGAATAACAATCAGTATTTAAAAAAAAAACGTTATCCCATGACATTCAAACCCGGAACTACAATCTGTGGATCACACAAAGAGTTGTTTCGTGCGGGAATCAAACCCGCGACACGATGTGCGGCAGTCAGTTGCCAAATCACCGCGCCAACCATGCGATCGAATTGTGTGAAATCTGGAATTTTGTCTAGTATAGTGTATGACATTAGGCTCATTCCATATTAAATGGGACTCAACATAGAACATAAATCAAGTAGGTGTTCGTTTTTTATGTTGAGTTCTACTTTTTAATCTCTCTCACAATTTATAAGCAAATAATCACTATCTTCGTTCATCAATTTAGAAAAAAATGTATTCACTTTTCTGGCATTATGGTGGTATAAAATAAATAAAACACTTGTGCTAGGGATTAGGCGGCTTTAAAAGTTATCGAAATGTATTTCTATTGGCAGTCAAAGCCTTAATAAACAAATAACATAAGAGGTGCACATTACAGCACTTAATGCCACTGTACAATGTAACACTCACTTTTCAATATTTATGTTATTGCTATTACCATATACCGGGCACATATCCAGACTACTACAACTGAGATTTTTAAATAAAACCCAGTAATACTTTGTTCAACCCGGGAATCGAACCCGAGACCTTCACACTTGCGACCACTCAGCCATCAGGCAGTTAATAAACAAATCTATTTGTTTATAGTAAGAATATTGATTGAATGAACAAAGTAGTCTAACAATAATTATTATTGTTTGAATCCATTGTGCTTTGGTTTGATTCATAAAACAAGCAGATGGTACTGTGTTCTATGATAGGTGCATGTGTGATGATAATATTATAATTTCTATAATATAAAATAGCACACTAACATAAAATTTATAATCTTACTACATCTATGCTAATATTATAAAGCTGAAGAGTTTGTTTTTTTGTTTGTTTGTTTGTTTGTTTGAACGCGCTATTCTCCGAAAGTACTGGTCCGATTTGAAAAATTCTTTCTGTGTTGCACAGCCCATTTATCGAGGAAGGCTATAGGCTATAAAATATTACGCTACGATTAATAGGCGCCGAGCAGAGCGAGTGAAACCGCGCGGAAGTACCTAGTAATAATATAAATCAGAAAGTTTGTGTGTTTGTGTGTATGTTTGTTACTCAATCACGCCAAAACGGCTGAAGGGATCGGGATGAAATTTAGAACAGGGATAGGTTATGGTCTGGAATAACAGATGGGCTACTTTTTATACCTCGGGAACGAGGGCAGAAGTTAGTATCTGTTACAAAGTCATTTTGGATAGTTATAGGTCAAGTTTGACATCCTCTTTTATAACAAGTAGAATAAGGAGCAGGTGTTGTGACACATTTTTGTGTGGAAATCATTATAATGTAACATTAAATCATTATACAAGGTGTAGTTTCGAAACCGTGACATTTCTCGGGGGCATGTCACAGAAGTCATAAAGGTTTAACTCGTCGAGTACCGGTTTTGTAGACACAATTATAGAACAATAGGTTGCGGTCACCGGTGACCGCTTGGTGTTCGACAGTTTAATGTAAGACAAAGTTTAGGACCAATAGTTAATTAAATACGGCTATAATAAATCGTTTAAGTTCGACAGTATTTCAGAATAAGTGACAGCAATGTTTCTTTATATATAGCTTATAAAGCTATATACAAGACGGCGGCGTGTAGTTCGCACTTACGGATTTCCGTAATTTACAGAAAAATGAAAAATATTTACCTACAATTTTTTAATTGATTCGGATTCAGAATTGATCGCCGAGTTACCTCCGAGAAAATGACGCGGCTTTAAAACAACACCTTGTATATTATTATCTCATAATCTATATGTCATAATAAATCATTATAAATTAACATAATTATAATAGTTCTTCAGGTTTACCTTAAATCAACTGAATAATAAGAATAAGAACGTTTATTTGCACGAAGTACGGTAATTACAGGTAATAATAATAATAAAAATTAGTCCCACATACATCGCCTACTGTTTTCGGCATGCAAAGTTTTACAATATAATAAAGTTCTTCATTCTTTAAATCTTACATTCAATAAAACCAATTACAAAAATGCTTACAACTAGGAACAATACTTACAATTACAAAAATATTCACAATTATTTCTCCTAACATATTATTATTACTTTTCTTCTTTATTCACATATTTATCATGATTATTATGTAGATTATTTGTCATATTTGTTTAGTAACATCCAGCAGAACTAATGAAAATGTGTTTGTCTATGGATTTCAACTTGTAATAATGAGAAGATTCTAGTTTAAAGCGACATTGTTGCAGTAGATAAATTTGGTTATCTAGACATGTGTTCGATAACGTCTCCACATGTTATAGTTTCTTCACCCTATCTTATAGACGAGAATAATTCACACGTAAATAATTCGTATTTAATGTGTTCATTTAATCTTAGGAGAGTTTGCACTTGCAGGGGCCATTTCTTACCATGATTTATATTTGAACAGCAAAAGAGGTTTATTCTTAGTATTATTCTTTATTAATACTTCAAAAGAGATTATTATTTTTGTTATTAACCAACTTCAAAAAGAAAGAAAAAGAGAGAGACGAGAACCCTCGTTCTCGGTTTTGGCTGTAGGTATGTTTGTGCGCGATTATCTCGCGATTTACTGTATTTTTTTATTTTCTCGTATTAAGTGGCAATGCTTAGATAAAATGGCGCTAAGTTCAGGAGTGGGAGGTCGTTACGTCATAACGTGCTACAAAATGTGACGCGCTGTGACGTCACACGATATTTCAAATTAATATGTCTTCGAAAGTATTTAATTTTGTGAGAAAAGAAAAAATACGTGTTTAAAGTTTTAAATTAATGTACCAGACGGACATTAAAATAAAGTTTAGGAAACTACCCTATTGTATGTTTGTAAACGTACCCACCACATAGGAGAAAATCCTAGTGTGGGGCAACGTTTATTAAAAAGATAAAATCAAAATCAATTATCCAGTAACTAATTCAACTAATCCTCCATCTCTCTCTTACAGTGGGTCTACAACATCCTAGAAGGCGAGAGTGAGCAGGACAGAATAGTCTACGACAATAAGTGTGAAAGAGACGGGTTTGTGTTGGTTCCGGACCTCAAGTGGGACGGAGTTACCAAGGAGACTCTGTACTTGCTGGCTATTGTGAGGAGGAGGGGGCTTAAGTCCTTGAGGGATCTGGATCATAGTCATCTGCCACTGTTGAAGAGGATTCGGGACGAGGGCAAGGTAAGACAATTATTTAAATATTTTTTTGTTAATAAGGTAATTTCCGAAATTTTATTTGAATGTCCGTCTGGTAAGTCATTTATTTCAATTAGACCAGAAAGGCACTTTTGAACGTTAACAACAAAAATTTAAAAGTGTAGCTAGTTGTTCATTCCAAGGTGTAGATTCCTATGGAGAAGAACGAGCAAGAAACTATAGGTTACTCTTTTCAATCAGGTTCACAATATAATTCTCTAGCTACATAGTTTTGTTGGTTCAATTGTGCGAAAGATTAATTTAAAATATTAGACACGTATTTTTTTTTTGTTCTACATTTTGTAGCACGTTGTGACGTAACGACCTCCCACTCCTAAACTTTTTCTTACCCTGGCAACTACCCTATTGTGCTAATTTATCAAACGGATAATACTATGAAAATAAGTCATACATCATGGGTATGTCTTACATTCCATTAAATTCAGAGGCCCAATTATCCCCCCCCCCTCCCCAATTCCCAAAACCTTCACAATCCTCAAATTCCCAATTCCCAAAAGGCCGGTAACGCACTTGTAACGCTTCTGGTGTTTCTGGTGTCCATGGGCGACGCCGATTGCTTGCCATCAGGTGACCCGTCTGCTCGTTTACCGGCTTATACCATAAAAAAATTACAACTACACACTGAGAAATGGGCACATTAATTTCTTAGCCACCATCCCGTTAAGCGTTAGATTGTGGCCAATCCTGCTCATTTCAACAAGGGATTATTTATTGTATCAACCAAAAATTAATACATTTTCTTCTCTGTTCCAGAAAAAGATTTTCGAGAAGTACAACGTACCGGCATCACAGCTGCGGGTCTACGTCCACTACCAGCCGTCGTTCTACCATCTCCACGTACACTTCACTTACCTACGCCACGAGGCGCCCGGCATCTATGTAGAGAAGTCGCATCTACTCGACACTGTCATCGATAACATAGAAATGAAACCAGATTACTACCAAAAAGCTACACTACCCTTCACAATCCGTGAAATGGACAACATTTTTAACATCTACGAAACAAATGGACATGTCCAGAGAATTAAACAAGATGTTGAATTAATCGATAAGTAACTTTTATATATTTTTTGTAAGTACAATTTTATATAAAACAATAATGTTGATTGAAGACGTTTTCATCGAGCTGCGCTCTCGATTGAGGAGCTGCAATGTATTCATTACAACTGGAGTCGACTTCACCAAAAACTGTAATTTGAAAATAAGTATACAGGCTAATTGTATTGTCTTGAATTATTATAAGGATAAGGATAGGAATGTTAAGTCGAGACGGGACAGTATTTCTTCTGAAGAGAGTCTTTCTGAATGGTGGTCGGACGAAGAAGGTGAAGTGAGCACTATGATCCCATTCCAACAGTTTTGCAAAATCATACCAAATTCTATGTCATGTCTCAAAATAGAAAAGAGAACGATTTCATTCAGATTACTGACTGAACCTAAAAATGGTGGCAATTTCTACAAAGAACTGTTATCCACGAATAATCCGGAGAGTTCTACCAAAGGAAATAGTTTAAAATTAAATGTGAATGCGGGTGAAGAGTTGCAATTAACCTGTGGTAACTGTTGTAATGTAGTTTCCGTCAAACGCGTAAAATTCGACCGTATTCTAGAGCTACCGACGTCCAATTTGGACATGTCGGAATGGTTTTGCCATGGAAACGGACATGGGCATAGTCATGGCCACAGCCACGAGGAGTCTCCACAGACATCCAACACCATAATTAAGCCAAACAAAAGTGATTTTCTTTATAGACTGACTTACTTTGTTGTGAACAATACCATTTTATCGGATAAGATGAACAAATTCAACGCTACAAGACCTGTTTATCATTGCAACAGATGTCTAGCGTGGCTGGGGCTCAAAGACAAGGATACTGTGAAACTATTCAACTCAGAAATTAGAATCACTCGTAAAGATATTGAATCAGTGATATTCGCACACAAAAATGAACAGGACATACACACAGATGATTTTATTTATACAATAGAAAGTATGACTAAAGAATTTAATCTCGGATTCCAGTATACAGTGATGTGTAAATTGGTTCTTGAATGTACCGTGTCAGCTGTGAAGAAACAATATTTGTTAATATGGGTAATGGATAAAGAATTGCAAGTGCTCAGAAGTGATGTTCTAACTTTCTTATTCGAAGACCGAATTCATTTGGAATCAACTTCTGTCACTAAAATTCTGTTCAAAGTTGAATTAAGTATGAATGAAGAAGTTGAATCCTGGGTTTCTGACCCAGGAGTAGTCACCACTGAGATATCAAAAGGCATGTTCAATAATGGACTCGCCCATTTGGAGAAAATGTCCCAAAAAGTACCAGAACGCTTCCGTAATACCAACGGTTACTGTGTAAGCTATCTTAAAGTTTGAATAAATAAATTCGCAATTGTATTTTCTGTTTTATTTTGAAAGAAGTTGTCTAATGTGTCTTTTTATTATTCAATAAAAATAATAAGTACTTAAATTCACGATCTCATACTTGTAGATGGGTCGAGAAATTTTAATTTTTTTAATAACACTTCAGTTTTGTATGAGATTTTCATACTGCAATTTTTCCCAGAAGTTTAAGTATTTCACTGACAGACCTTACTCATAATGAAATTTATTTTTGGGATATCTTTAAAACGCCAATAAATATTAAATTGGTGGATATTTTAGTCACATAATAATAAGGATCGATCTTTTCTTTCACTCTTGCTACTATATGCTACCCTTCTTTGTTTTTGATGGGGAAAAATCATCTAATTACTCCTCCCGCACGGGTGAAGCGAGAGTGTTAGACTTCAGGTTCCTGTTTCCTCCTTAGCTAGTATGACTACTTCCGCAGAAGGAAAAGGCAGCATACCAGCCCCCCTCGCTCCGTACCATGGTCTGAACCAGAGCCGGACGCGCGAGGTCCCCGTCGCCAATCACATCCTCGAGCACACGGCGGTGCTCAGAACACGCAGGGCACACCGCCACCGTGTCCTCCGAGCGATCCTCACAGTGATGACACCCGGGCGTTTCCTCCCGTCCATCTCAAACAGGAACCTAGGTACCGAAACTTCCGTGTCCGGTATGCGTCTGCGTCACACGGTAGGTGAGGAAGCCGTAGCCTCTCTGAAGTGACTCCTCAAAGAGGGGACTTACCGCTACAATTACAGCGAGCCCTCGTTTGCTACAGTCGCGCTAGTCGTTGCTGCCATTTCATCCTATGCTACCCTGGTACATTTTCATAGAAACTCAAATGACATTCAAAAATAGTTGGTATGTAGTTGTACAAAAATTGGTTGTTAACAGTGGACCCACTTTATAAGAGGTTACCTATTATTATTATTTAAAATTACATATGAAATTGCCGTATTCTATAAAAAAAAAATTAAACGAATTTTTATATTTTTTATTTGTTCGAAGCAATTAATCACCCATGCAGTTGCACCCTATTCCAACGCAGTGGCAGTTTATTGATGGGCATTATACTTAAAGAAATCAGCTAGACTCCCGTCCCAGCAACAAATTGTTCAATGGCATTTTGTACTGCTTCTCGGGTATTGAATTCAAATCCAATCAAGAAGTTATCCTTTTTTGTGGAAAAAGTAGTAGTCTAAGCGCAATATCCAATATCTGGTAAGTAGGGCGGGTGACGAAGAGCTTCCAAGCTTCTGCGAAGCTGGAACCAGTTTGGCGCAACAACAACGCGCGTTGTCGTGCAAAAGCAGCGTAGACAAGCGATTGACCAAAGCAATTTTTAGATGTGCCAGCTTCTCCATCTTTGTATTCAGTTCTTCACAGTACACATCTGCAGTAATGCTCATCCCGTTTGGTAAGAAGCTGTGATGAATCACACCGGCACTAGAACACCAAACATCACTTTTCTAGGGTATCAGGGTAGGAAAATTGCGGTATAAAATTTCTTAAAGTGTGTTTCTGATGAGTAGTGCAAGGCACATCTCGACGCGTACTTCGCGCTGGCGATCATTGAGTTCGTGTGGCATCCATTGTCAAGCTTTTTTACCTTGCCATGTTGACGCTATCATGAAAGCTGCTGCTAATTCAGCCATAGATTGTGTATCATCAGCTTCCACAATCGTCTGTTATTCGTCATGGTCGACCAAAGTCTTCGGACGATCGCGATGTTCCTTTTTCAGGTCGAAAGGACGAAAAAAATAATTTGGGCTTTTACTCCGTCTCCTACTCCTACTCCGTCCCGGGCCTCGGTAGGTACTTATGGCGATTTACCCTCAACCTCGGACACTTGTTGTCTTCCAAGTTCGTCATCTTGGATCCTACAACTTTTACGCCATAATAACTATTGCTCCAAATGACTAGTTGTAACGACACGTACCTATCATTATTTTTTGTTGGTCGGCACTTTCAGAAAAGGCTCAAAAATATATGGAGGCGAAATGATCTCCTTTCCAGAACGGGCGCGAGCAAACCAATAACATATTGTGCAATGGTAGTACGTTGTTCGTTTAGTTTGTAATGTACTTAAGCTTCGTAAACGTCGCTGATGTTGCGGGCCGCTCGTGTCGCGTTGCTGCCAACGGTGCCTACTCATGAATAATCATGATTACGAATAGGTACCTACTATTGAAATCCGATGAAAATGTATCACTAATCAATAAACAAATGACTGCTTTTAAAAAAGGAACCCATGTTTCTAAAATAAAATTAATTTGAAATTAGAATTCTTAGCCAAACAAAAAATATTTTGATTTAAAATGGCCAGTACCTACTGCCAGAACGGCAATTTCATAGTTATAGATCTAATAATTGTAGCGTGCATGGCACGTAGCATGACGTCAAGGTGACACGATTAGTAGGTAGGTACCTACTACTTGACTTGACTGGAAAGTGCATTACAGTGAACTGTTAATTTTTGAAACGCTTTATGTGAACTGACACACCATCTAGACAGTATGTATAGGTACTTATCAAAGATCACAATCAGATCCAGACAAACATTTGGGTATCAAATTAAGTTCGTTAATAAAGTCTCCTAGACGTAGCAGTGTGATTTCCCGACTATAGCGCTAAACGAGCATTCGAAGTTTTCATATAAATGAAACCAATTCCGTATTGCAAATTAGAGAGCTTTCGTGTAGATAATATTATTAATATTAGCAAAGATAAGTTTCGGTAAAGCTGATAGAAAGAGAAATATCTTCAAAAAGTAGAATGGTCAGAAATGAAATGGCCAGTACTACAGAACGGCAATTCCGTAGGTAAAACCGTATGAATTTGTCTTAACCCACTTTTAAAAGTTTTTGATTACGTTGTATGTTAAGTCCTAGTACCTACTTTCAGATATAGATGACGTGTAAAACGGGGTGAATAGATATAGGAGAGAGTTGAATAAATGTTGGGAAAACATTCTAACATTTATTCACCCCATTATCTATTGTATGTATGGTCTATTGGTCTCTCCAATTCTATTCATCCCGTTTTACGGTGTTTGTAGAAAAGTAATAAATACCCTACACAGATAGCTGTTTAGGTACTGTCATTTTTACTGTAGTATAGGTACTGTCATTTTTATAGGGGCCTGAAGCGAAATACTTCTTTTAATCTGAAACTACCATAAACCTTATATCATAATTAATAATAATAATAATAATTAGTGAAAATAAGTCTGTGTTTTTATGATAATTATCGTGAGACATACTAAATTAACTAAAATCGCGGGTTACTCACGTAAATATACTGAGAAAAACTCTACTAGTTTCGAACCACAGAGGGGTTCTTCCTCATGACATAACAGTGAGCTGCGCGACGTCGCCGCGACCGCGCACGCTGCTCATGAGAACCCGTGATTTTAGTTAAAATAAGTCTGCTTCGTTGGCCAGTCGTCTGATCTCGAGTCCGATTCCCTGGGTCGGGCAAAATATTACTGGGTTTCTTAAACATTCTCAGAAGTAGCACAGAATGCCCGGTATATGGCAAAAGGCTCACCTCCTATTACATGGGACACATATACTCACATGACGTATTCCTCTCGGGAGGTGATAATACAACTAATTTCCTTCAAAATTAGCCCTGAGGTCCCTGGTCCAAAAGTACCTACTTTCTGTTCAACATTTTTAGTTTTGGTCAAAAAATCCAGAAACAACTACAAAAACATTAATAAATAAAAAACTACTGTTTTGATTCAAGTGATTTTAGTTTCAATTTGCTGTGAATACACCAATAAACATTTATTAATACTAATACTGGCAGAAATATCATTCGTATTAAATAAATAGCAAGTAAATTAGTAGGTAGGTACCTACCTATATTGTGAGAAGGGCAGCGCTCTCTGACAATCCTGGTGGCTTACTCTTGAATTCAATTCCGATCGATCGACATTGGTTTTGCGAAATTTCGTACTCTTGAGTTGCAACACTAGCGCCCATTGCACCCGTATTGCGTGGATATTGAATTAACTAAATGGTATTGAGTTTGGCTTTATATTCCGTACTCTGAATTCTATTTTAACAGCTACAATAGGGGTTGTATAGTATTGACTATTGACATTGAATAATTATTGAGATTTTATTGGATTAAAATTGCATTGATATTGAGATTGGTTTCGAGAGTAAGCGCCCAGATCCTTTTACACTGCGATATCCAACTCACCTGCTAAGCCAGAAGGTGGAAGTTATGGCAAACTATCTTGTCTTGTGTAGAGGCCAGAAGGGGACGTAATGGGCTGTTGGCGTTCGGAAGTAAACAAACAAGCATTCGTTTGGTAACAAATTTATTATAACAAAAGAAACAGTACAATGAATAATGAAAAATAGTCTCATGTGCCCTTAGTTATCACAATACATCTAGATATTTAATTTAAAACAAAAATGGAATTTACACTTACATTGGAAAGTTGCACCTTTATCCCCCTTTTTGGGGATTAACATGTGTGACGTTTATTGTATCAAGCTATCATATTATATTGCCATTGTGGGTATTAGAAGTCATTTTGCTTATATCGTTATTTTTACAAGTATGTGCTAAGGTTTTATTTACAAGGTACAATGATGTGCAATTACGATTTTTAAAAATCAGGTTTCTGTGCCAGACTGTGAGAAAATTTTATATTTAAGTAATTTGAATACAATATTAAAATCCTAGCTAATTAACCACTGAAATTTATAAACAACGCTAGGAAATACACCATATTTCTATAGTTTGCATTTAATTACATATCATGTAAAAAATCGTGTATTATATTGTGCACAATAACTTAATATTCTTTAAATATATTACTAAAGAGTAAATGACTATATTTTATTTAAAAAATATCTAGTTATAAAGCTGTGCCATGTGATAGGGATATATCGCTATCTCTCTCATCGTAGAACTTACTTTATTAGCAGTGATGTCACAACTATAATGTATCTCTTTTCTGTAAAACGACTTGATACTGGACGCAGATCGCTTCCAACCGCCCGATCTAGAAGTCGTTGAGGCCTATGCGGCCTATGAGGGGCGGTACCGCCGTCCGTGAGTGCAGGGTGCCACCTGAAAACCAGCGTTGGGCAGGAACGCTCAACTATATGCTGAGGTGGTCGACCTTTTGGCCTGGGCACGCGCACTTTATTATTTTTATATCTCTTTCCTTGTTTTATATACAGTGTGTTAAGTTAAACGAGGGACTTATTGAGGGAGGGTATTCAGTATTCGATTCTCGTCCCGAATATGTAAAAAACCTATAACCAAAATTTTTGAGGTAATTGTCTAATAAAATACATCATCATGAACACTGAGCGCGCAACAAGTGAACTTGTAAACAGAAACAGTACTTACATAAAGTAAGTCACGATCCAAAACACGCGGCGATCTTGTCGAAAAGAATAGAGTGCGCTTAAGCCCGCTAAGCCGTAACCCGTAAGCGTAAGCGGAAGCGTTTTTATGGTTCTGTCTGTTATTTATTAGTGTTTTCGTTTCGTTTATATGTTTGTTAGGTTCATGTGAGTATACACTATTATGAGTTTGAATATGTCCCTCGTTTAACCTAACATACTGTATATTTATATTTTGTTTTTAGTTTCGGATATTATTGTGATTATATTTTGTTATGTTTTAATGATTTTTGTTCATTCTTTTCTCTTTTATAAAATCTATTATTAATGTTTTGTTTTTATTTTGACTGTATTTTTTATTTGTATTGTAATGATCCTTGTTTTCGTGTGCCAATGGTCAAGTAAATGCATTTTCTTTCTTTCTTCTTTCTATGCCAATGTATGACTGATATTATGACGACGATTCTTCCTTTTTAATAAAGATACAGTCATCTACTCTATTACACTTATAGCATCATATCCAAATAATAGTTTAGTAACAATTTAAATTCATAACTATAGTTGATGGCTGCTCATAAAATTTGTTCCACGTCATGCGCTGTAGAGCTGCGGAGTTGGGCGATACCACTGATGATGATGGAGTAGTTGAAGTACCAGAATAATGTGAATATGATGCCGAAGACGATATCTGATTGTTGTGCTAAGGTTATTATTGAAATTGCAGGGTTGAACATATTTGTCCCTAGCGCTACTCTTCCCGCAGGTGTCTTTGCTGACTAAGGGATTACACCTACACTTTTGACAAAGACCCGGCAGCAGCTATCTTTAATAGACCCTTAAAACGATCCCTTTGTTCATGGAGATAGTCGCTAATTGTATGGCAATAGGCTACTCCTCACTGTCGGAATCAAACTCCTCAATAGGCGAAAAGTGGGTTGATATAGGTAGGTATATTAGACATATTATTAATTATCCTCCCTTCCCAACTCCCGAATCCCCAACAATCCTCAAATTCCTAATCCCCAAAAGGCCGGTAACGCACTTGTAACCCTTCTAGTGTTCCGGGTGTCCATGGGCGACGACGATTGCTTACCAGGTGATCCGTCTGCTCGTTTACTGACTTATGCCATAAAAAACATACCCTTAATGAGCGATTTTACCCTGCCTATCCCTTTTAAATGTGAAGCGAAGTTCCATTACTTAATTGTGGATAAATTCGCAGATGCTAAAAGGGTATAGTTAAAGTTAAAACATTATTTATTGCCGAAGTGACAGAACACAACAAACAACCATGTCTCATTCATAAATCATGTCAGATTTTCTTGTTAACTTTTTGTCATATTTGTGCAAGTTGTAATTTATGTAAAATACATACATTTTATGAATTGTTATTACGATCATTATACCGCTAATGTTCTTGTTTAGAGTCACGAGTTGATCATCACTCTTGACTGATGACAAAACGACTGATGCCCTTCTTGAGGCTAATTTTTTTTTACGGAATAGGGCGGCAACGTTCTATCTAATGGAGCAGACGGATCACCTGATGGTAAGTAGACATCGCCGTCCATGGACGGGTGTCTATCAACACAAGAGTTCTCTTGTAATAAATATTATAAGTGCGTTGCCGGTCTTAAGGGTCGAGGATCCATCACAAAACAAAGCAACAGTTATTTATGTTAGTGTTTTGTGAGGCAAGTCAAGTTGGCCCATTCGTGCCGAAGCAAGGCTGTCTCATATTTATAGAATATCATCATCATCATCATCAACAGCCTATAAATGCCCACTGCTGAGCAAAGCCTCTTCTCACACGGAGAAGGTTTGAGCATTAATCACTACGCTTGCTCAATGCGGGTTGGTGATTTCAAACTTATAATTAGAAATTATAAGTCCAGGTTTCCTTACGATGTTTTCCTTCACCGTTTGTCAGTGGTGTCTAAATAATCTTAGAAAGTACATAATGACTCGGAAAAAGTCACATTGGTACTTGCCGTTGGTAGGTTTCGAACCAGCCACCACGACGTTTTTAGAATATGATAGGAGCTAAAAAGGGACCGTAGTACGTACGCTCTGTACCTATAGATTCTACCGACCCCATGGGCCAAGGTGTGGCTGCTTGTATTTATATGTAACGTAGGTATTTGTAAGTGGAAGCCATCAATAACGCCATTGATATGTAAAGCCCCTACTAGTAACATTATCAATAAATACTTTATTATGCTTGATAAGGATTGAGTCATATTTGAGCTGAAGGACAGATAGGTATATAAAATAATAAAGGTATGAGGGAATAATTGGATTAAAATGTTTCGATATTTTCAACTAAGTATCTAATATAATTATAATTACTTAATTATATAATAAATCAGCCTTAATCCAAGGATTATAATATTAACCCTTGGTCGATCAATTATAACTAAGTACAACTGTCGAGCAAGAGATTAAGGGTTCGATGCCCGATAATTTCTATTTTGGAAACTGTAATATCACAGATCGCCTGGTGAAAAGCAATTAGCTTGTCCTATTCAGATTTCGTTTACGTACTTGGTTGAATGTTTAAATCTTAAAAAAATATTAAGATGTAATAATCGCTTGCTGCATTTGATAGCATAGCCTATTTATTTTTATCAGCGAAAGGTTATGTTTTTTTTTATGGCATAAGCCGGTAAACGAGCAGACGGATCACCCGATGGCAAGCAATCGGCGTCGCCCATGGCCATCTGGAACGCCAGAGGCGTTACAAGTGCGTTACCGGCCTTTTGGGGATTAGGAGTTTGAGGATCGTTGAGGATTTAGGAATTGGGGAGATTGGGGAAGGGGAGGGTAATTAGGCCTCCCGTAACCTCACTCACACGATGAAACACAACGCAAGCGCTGCTTCACGTCAGTTTTCGATGAGACCGTGGTATAACTCCGGTCGAGCCGGCCCATTCGTGCTGAAGCATGGTCCTCGGACGCTTTAAAAAAATATTTTTATTTAGCTGGGCTATCTTGGATATCTAGACCCCACACATTTATTTTACAAACAGAGGTTTGGTACAAAGGCTGGGGCTATGGAACTTCTGGCTGCCATCAGAGCCGTCTTATCTCCAAGGCAAACTAGGCAAGTGCCTATGGCGCTAGGCTACAGAGGGGGCCCAATGGGGCTGATGCCGGAGCCGCGGAGGGCTCGAAGTGCAGGAGAAGGAACGGGGTGGTTTTTAGTCAGTAAGAGTCTTACACTCCCTCTCGTCTCACCCGGGCGGGAGAAGTCATTGGATTTTCCCCCCTTTAAAAAAAAGGGTAATCTCTAGGTTAATCTGACTTTGGTCATGTATAAATGACAAATATAGGAAACAAACAGTATTATTTGACGTCATCTTTCGTTGACATAAGAAGTATAAACAATAATTATTTTGACCTAATGTGAACTCGGGGTTTGACGTCAAAGGTACGTTTTTACTCTTTTTTTACTTAAATGTAAAAAGGTAAATAAACAGTTAGTTATGTTGTAATCAAGGTATGCTAAAAGGATTTTTATTGCAAATCTTTTTAAGGTTCATTGTACTGATAAGGTTGCACTTAAAAACCAGTTATTCAATTAAATTGAAAGGTTTTACAACTTCATAGTCATTTTGAGAACAAGGTACCGTTATGTATAAGTGATAACATGATATGAAATGTATAAACATCGATTTTTTGTTCAGTTTCGTTCAAAGGTTTATTCTAATTGGAGATGAGATGATACCACAGCCATACATAGATTATTCCAGACTTTGTTGTTGATAATAGTTTGTATAATCTAAATGGGTTAAAATAATACTAGTTATGCCAACCTAGGTAACACACACATCTTTATGCTGAGTGCAAAAAATGGACTGCCTCGTTGGTCGAGTGCGGCTGCCGGGCAAGGGGTCTCGGGTTCGATTCCCGGGTAGGGCACAATACTACTAGGTATTTAAAAAAAATCTCAGTAGTAGCACGGAGTCTGGAATTGTGCCCGGTATTTGGCAATAGGCTCACTATTACATAGGACTCATAAAATAAATAGTGAAAAGTGGGTGTTACATTGTATAGTGGCATTAAGTGCCTTTATGTGCTTCGGCCTACCCCTTCGGGGATAAAAGGCATGATGTTATGTTACAAAAAAGTGATTAATCACATAGAAAGAAAGTACGGAATTTTTTAAAGGTTAAAGTGCACTTTAAACTGTGGAACATAATAAATAACAAATATTATATCGAGGGGTAACGGGCTATTTGGTTTAAGCGACATTTTGGGCGATATTGAGTTATATATATATTCGGAATCAGCGAATTTTTCTCCGTCGGTTGATGCCGGTTTCATTAAAATCGGAGCACTTTTTTGGCGTTTCAAACAATTCTATTTTCGTGTTGTTTCCAAAGTGACAGTGTATTAAACGACATGGATTTCGCATTTTTTATTAAATTATGTACTTGAACCATACCATCATATTAATAACCGAGATATAAACCAGTCACCCTATCTCTAATTAATAAGTCAAAATGATTTAAAGCGTTTTTCCTGTTTCTAATTTTAACTAGCAAGTAACTTGAATCATTTTGACTTCCCACTAATCACACGGTATGTTGTCGCTTAAAACATTTATCCGTCACCCAAATACGCCATGGTTCGTCTCTTAAACACTTCTAGCTGCTTTTATTTTCCACGCAGGGTGCTACTTAAACCAAATAGTCGTTTTCGTCCAGATATTTTGTTTAGTCATAAACCATTTAGCCCTCGTTTTTTTTTAAAATGCATGTCGTTTTATACAGATGATAACATTAATAATGGATATTGAAACATTTTGCCAGTATTCATAAAAATATGAATCGGTCTTTAAATCACTAAATTTTAATATGGTACATTTCAATCATGTCATATGATACTATATTTATTTCATCGCCCGGGTGTTAAAAATCGTGATCATCCAACTGGACTATCGTGCGCTGGCGATTCAGTCACTCCAGAATGCGTCGAAGACAGACGGGACGCGCACTCACCGCCAGTGTTTACGTAAAACGCTCATCGAAATTGAATCCTAAGTACTTTAATTTCAAGATCAACCTCGCGGTCGTCCGAAGACTTTGGTGACAATAGGCTATTGTGGAAGCTGATGACATACAATCTACGGCTGATTTAGCAACAGCTTTCGACGTTAGCATCAAAACAATATTGGTCCATTTACGTCAAATTGGCAAGGTAAAAAAACTTGACAAGTGGGTGTCCCACAAACTCAATGATCGCCAGAGCTAAGTATGCATCGAGCAGTGCCTTGCACTGCTCAACATAGTTGTAGTAGTAGTTAGTTCAGCACCTAAACAATACCCGAAACGAAAACTTACTCCTAGAAAAGTGATGGTCACTGATGGTCTAGCGCCAGTCTGATTCATCACAGGTTCTTACCAAACGGAGTGAGCATTACTGCGGATGTGTAATGTGAAGAACTGAACACAATGATGGAGAAGCTGACACATCTCCAACCAGCACTGGTCAATCGCTCATCTCCATTGCTCCTGCATTACAACGCGCGACCTAAAGCTGCACAACAGATGGTCTCCAAGTTACAAGAACTGGGGTTGGAAGCTCTCCAATATCCACCCTACTCACCAGACTACTTCTTTTCCAGAATTTGAATAACTTCTTCGCGGGAAAAAAATTCATTACCCGAGAGGCAGTACAAAATGCATTTAAAGAATTTGTTGCCACCCGTCCAGCTGATTTGTTTAAGAAGTATTTTGTGGCAGTTTATTGATGCCCAATAAACTGCCACTGCGTTGGCAACGATGCATTGATTACATGGGTGATTACTTCGATAAATACAAATAAAAAATACATGAAAAAAATCGTTTAAATTTTTTCATACAAAACGGCAATTTCAGTAAATAACCCATTAATTTATCTGATTTTGCTGAATAAATAATAATATAATCGTTGTTCCTATGCAGACTGTTATTATTAATCTAAATAAATACTTTGATATTGTGTTGTGTTTATTTATCCGATGTAAGCACCTGAGATTTTCGGTTGTTTCGATATATCCAGGTTGTTTTATCAGCCATTAATCGTCTTAGATGTAAATAAACATAAACATTTAACGATACAATTTCAATGTTATATGTCACATAAGTAAATTAGCCTGTTACTCATTTTAGTCTAAATTGGTAGTTGAGATAAATAGCTTGCTTCTATTTATTTTGGGTTTCGTTACTTCATACTTTTTGGCTTACTCTGTAAATAGAGTGCATCGTCGCTTAATTTTTTTCCCTTGTAGCCAATTGTAGTTATGAAGTCACTTAAATCATTTTTCCTGACTCTAAAAAAGGGCAGATTGTATTAAGCGACATTTATCTTTGTAATTAAAGGTCCGCTTTATTTGGAATTAGCATCAGCAACTAGATATTTTTATTTAAATTTCAATGCAATTTACCCCGTTCAAATAACTGCAGAAGCGTATTTGTTATGAATTTTTTTTCGAAATTTCAAACTTTAAAAGGCTCTCCTGTAAAGTTGCAAAAATGTCGCTTAAACCAAATAGCCCGTTACCCCTCGATATAAAGATCAAAACCAGTTTCAAGGCTTCGCACAGAGAGTGAAAGTATAATAGAAAGTAGTGTTAACAAGGTTTTTGCTATATTCTGAAGACTGTACTGTACTTGTAAGATTACAGTTATTTATGCCTTTGAATTATGGGGGTCGGCAGACACTATAGAATTGTGACATGGCATATCTATCATTGCCAATGGTTGTATTATTTGAACACTCATTTCTGCATATGACTTTGTACAGCAATCCCATTTCTTCCCGTTCTCGTTCGTTATTTTCGGTAAAAAGTTAAAAAAGTATGTGTATGTCCGTCTCATGGTTCTAACCTACCTACAAAACAATTTTATCCAAATCGATTTAGCCTTTCTTGAGTTATAAATAGTGTAACTAACACGTAATAACATATAGGAATTAATAAGAATCTTGAAAAGACTTGCAAGAAATTTTATTGGTTTCTTGACAAAAGATATTGTAAATGTTCTTCGATGGAACTTTGTTTGATAAATTACGGAAAATAAGATTTACCTTGTTATTGCAGGTTTTGTATTAATAACATCATTTACAGGATAAATGACATATGTATGTATGTACGTATTTATAAAATACCTTATGATAATAAAATTATTATTAACTCGTCGAGTACCGGTTTTGTAGACACAATTATAGAACAATAGGTTGCGGTCACCGGTGACCGCTTGGTGTTTGACAGTTTAACTATTGGTAGTTCTAAAAAAATAAAAACAGTTTTCATATTACAGTAACTATTTTTGGCTAACAAATCTATACTATGGACCTACAACAAGTGACTCTATTTCTTGTAAGCTGTGGCTGTAACTAATGATATAATTAACTGACAGTTTAAACTGTCAAACACCAAGCGGTCACCGGTGACCGCAACCTATTGTTCTATAATTGTGTCTACAAAACCGGTACTCGACGAGTTAATTGGTAAAATAAGGTAACAAAAAAAAAAAAAATCAAAATTAAATTAAGTGATTTCAATTAAACCATCAAGTTATGAAGAGAAGTGTTGTGGTGACCTGAAGGTTTAAGACACCCACTTCTCATGCATGAGGGTGAGGTTTGAATCCTACCAACAGCAAGTACCAATGTGACTTTTTCCGAGTTATATGTACTTTCTATGATTATTCAGACACCACTGACAAACAGTGAAGAAAAACATTGTGAGGAAACCTGGGCTTATAATTTCATATTGATAAGTTTGAAATCGCCAAACCGCATTGAGTAAGTGTGGTGGTCAATGCTCAAACCTTCTTGAGTGAGAAAAGGTTTTGCTCAGCAGTGGGCATTTATAGACTGTTGATGATAATGATGAGACCAGCAAGGTACTTTTGAAAAATTTAAAAGTGTTAAGTCTGTCTGTAAGTCCTATAGTGAAGCTATTTGCTCATTCTAAAGTGTAGATTCTTATGGAGAAGAATGAGCAAGAAATCAGTTCCCACATGTAAACAGTTGCCATAACTATACAGACTACAGAGGAAGTCTTGTCAATGGCTCACTGTTTGACTGAACTAGTTTGACCTACATTTTCATTGGAGATGTGAATAAAACATTGATTAACACCATTTTTTGTTCATACGTCTTGATGGAGAAGGTCAGTACCATCCAACCGTAACGAAAAATTCATTAAACATGAATAAAATACCTATGAAACAATAAAAAAATAAATTTATTGTGTTATGACAGTGTTCATTTTGCCATGAAATTAATTGCATTGCATGTAATTCTATGTTAAATGGAGTAACAAAATAGTCTAGTTACACTAAGTTTTCTCTAACGAGAATATACTAAACCAACTCCAAATTAAAGAATGTTTAACCTACAACTATGATTCGATTTTGAAAAGGATACGCATAACAACCTTTTCCCATGTGTCCACCATGTACAACTCAGTCGCCAGTAGGTAGCGAACGTACCAGTGGCTGATAAATTGCTGAATTTTCTTCAGAAATTCCATTTTCCTGTCCGGTTCTGCACTTCAACACTTTAAACTGACCAAGTTGTGCACTTACTTTTTTGTTAAAAGTAAGTATGGAACAAATACACGTGTAAGCTCTGCTTATTCTCACTTAATACTAATTACTGGTGTCCGAACTTTGCTTTCTCGGCAATAAATATTAATATAACGTTCGTTTCCTTGCCGAAAGAAGAAGTATGTATAAAATGAGTCAAACGTCAAACGAAGTCCAGCCAGTTGTCCAGTTGTCAATGTCAAATTTGACTTTTAACATTGACGTTTAGTTTCCGTGTGGTCATAGTAAATATTTGAACTGTCACTTTGGTTTTTTTACGCTTGTTATACACAAACGCCGCACGTCCCGCTATTGTTGTATGGGGGTAGGCAGGAACTTCTAAGTATGATTTTATAATGCCTGTGCATAATTTGTTTGTTTCCATAGCATTTAAAATGTTCATGTTTATTGATTAAGGATAATTTTTTATTTCTGGCCTTTTATTAAACTTTATTTTGTTATATTATCGTTTCCCCTTTTATATTCTCACTGAAGCTCTCGAGAGAGCAACTCAGTAGATATTTCTACTTCCTGAGATTACTCCCCAGTTTGGGCAACTGGCTGCCGCGCAACTTGTAGCGGGTTCAATTCCCGCACGGAGCAACTCTTCGTGTGATCCATAAATTGTTGTTTCGGATCTGGGTGTGATGTGTATGTGAACCAAGTGCGGGGCAACGTTTTCTTAAAAAAAATACTTTTAATTGTCTTGATTTTCAGGTTATAAGACGAAAACGGTTATCTCAATACGAGATTTATATCTAAGACACGAACACAAACTGAATGAATGCATATAAAATAAAAGAAAGAGAGCCGTTTTACAATAAAATGAACTTTAATTCATTGGGTTAATAATACAATGTGATTTATTTATCCTTACATCTAAAGTAAAATTGGTATCAGCCCTTTATACTACGCAAGAAAATACAATGTTGCAAACCTACAAAACGATTCTATACACTGGTAATACGAGTCGATAACTAATCACAATTTTGTACTTAAAAATTATTATAAAACGGTAATTTTGTATAATTTCATTAGTTTACATTAGTAACTTAATTTAAGGGCAGCTATTATAGTTGCCATATAAAAGCTTGTGTAGCCAGATCACAAAATACAGCGTTGCCATGTAATTTATTGAATTATAAATTAGTTTTTAAAAATGGCGGTGGCTATTTTGCTTAGCAAGCGGTGCACATGCTTGATCCCGCGACCCGCTTAAACATCATTTACATTTTTATACACTAGACGGTAACCTTATTGCATTAAGCGTGCAAATTATTCTAAAAAAGCCAAGTCAGGGTTGTACATACCAATTTACATAAAATAGTATCGAGATGGTAATGTTCCTGGCAATCCTATGGCATTTTTTGCACCAAATGATGTAATAAAATATAAATTTTAAAATTTTTATAGGTATCATGCCCATAAAAAAGAAATAATTCATTATTTTCATAGCAGATAGAATAAATATATTAATAATAACATAAAGTAGCATACAGTGGCAATGTTTCATTTGTAAGTACAATAGTTCAATTCTACTAAACACAGAAACAGAAATATCATATAAAAATGTCATATTAATATTGACGACCATTTGAACATATACTTTATTCCATTGGAATAAAGATTGTATTTGTAAACTTCATTTAACACAAATACTTCTTTCTGTCTTTAGTAGAAAACAGTTGTCATATTTTCATAGGTCTAACTTTTTGACACTTTAATTTTTTAATCCTGTATTGCCATATAATTGCACACAATAATAAATACATACAAAATCACTTAATTTAAAACCCATACTTAAATATTAATAAATAATTTGGAATAAAATGATAAATTCAAAATCACACACATTTATAGTTTAATTCTATATATTATTTTTCATGCAAGCAATCTTTTATTTAATACTAAAGACATGATATTACAGATTTTCTTTATTTTCAGTATTTTTCAGTCTTATACAAGGCACCGATTTCATCCGATTTTGTATAATTATTGTATAAAAAATAGCTGCCATAATATTTCATAAGACAATCATTAAAATTGGCACTTTCATTTATTATCCGTTTACAAACAAGTTTTGTCCGGTTGTTGTACAAAATTCCAGGTTAAAATGGCGTTACATTTTGTACAAATTCCGGATACTGATAGTTTAATTTTATTGCTAAAATCGAGATATTAAATTCCATTGAATAAAAAATTGTTAAGAAAATATGTATATGTATAGAGATAAAATACTGCATCGTAAATGTATAATGATATATTAAATAATAAAATATATCGGGCCACGCAATATCGTGTCGTAACCGGTTAAAATACGATTCATTGTCCTTATTTCAGATACAGTTCTTGTATCCAATAAAAGTATTCGAATCGCGTATTTGTCATACGTATAGAAAACTTCACGTAACATAAAGTTTTCTTATATTTATAGGTACAAGCCCATATTCACCACATTTGCCGGTTTATCCGGATATTACTAAAACCCGGATATTAAAAAATCACCCACTATTTTCTATCTACGAGTAATTGACAAGAATTAATGCATAATGTACTTAAAATCTATGGTACCGATGGATTTTCGACTTCATTACCTATACAGTAAGTACTATTTACTTTGTGACATTTAGGCTACAATGAAAAGGACGGGTGAATTAAAATAAATGATATTTTTACAATGGCAATCTAATTTATCGTACATTTTTGGCAGTTCTTTTTTCAAAATGGAATTTTATGAGCAAATGTGATTTGTTTTACAAAATTCTGTTTCTATTTTCAAAATCATGCCTTTTGCTTTAATGTCAGATATTAAAAAAAAATTTAAAATGTTGACCCACTGGTTTTTAATAATTTATCAAGGTGCGCTCTTCTCATATTTTACAGCTTTTCAACTTCGAACATAACTCTGTTTACCCCCTAAATATGGAGCGTAAATAAACCATTTCCACTCGCAATTAATCGAAATAACTGCTATATTCAATACCAATGAAAATAAAATAAAGAAAATAATAAAAATATATCTACGCATCATAAGGGAGTAAATTGAATTTGTTGAGTTTCAAATACCAGATTAACTTTACCAATTTAAAGCACAATCTTGGCTGTAAAAACAAATGAACATGCCATATAATGTCATTATTTGACATGTCATTCGACCCGCCAAAAATGACAGTTGACACATTAGCACAGATGATAAAACCGATTACTTATTTTGGCGGGATGTGAAGTCATTTCTACGTTCGTAACTTACAGACAAACAAAAAATATTCAATAGGAGCCTACCTGTCCATATTCACTTCTTCTGCTGTTATAAACCTTGCTTTACTTTGACATTTCCTACCTACATTGCCAGACTAAAAAAGACAAGTGTTGTCATTACAAAAAATGAAACGCCTGCCGAGTTTCTATGCAAAAAGTCTGATTTTAAACCAAAATCAGATCTTAATTAAAATATGTTTCCTTCAGTGCTTTTAAATATGGTTTTCATTCTAAATATTCGGTATAGCCCTGGGCCCCTGTGAATATAACGTCGATCCATATTCTCGCTGCCTCGCCAGAGGGCGCCATGAGGTAGTAGCGACGTTGTCTCGTCTTCACTATGAATGTAGTTAAAGGATTCGGTGATTTCGATGTGTTCCCGTGGTCTAGGTATACTTCTTCTATGACCTGGAAAGGAGACATAGTAGTTTTAGAACAGTTAGTTATAAATTATATCTTAAATAGGTACTATTGGTATGTAATGTGTTCACATGTATACGTTTATAAATTTTTTCTCACTCAAAATACAATTTGATGAACAAGAGAGAAAAAAGTAAAAGAAAGTTTCCAGCCGCCTGAGTCAATAACTCCTGAGGATGCTCCGTGTAAGAGCTAAACATGTCGAGACTGGTTGGAGTAGTTTGTTGCGTATCGTGTGTGTATTTTGTATTACATCTCTGCTGCATTATATTAAAGGGGGGAAAATCATCGAATGACGTCTCCCGCCCTGGGTGAGGCGGGAGGGAGTGTCAGACTCTTACTGACTAAAAACCACCCCGTTCCTACTCCTGCACTTCGAGCCGGAGTCCCGGCAACCTGTTAAGTCCTCCGCGGCTCCGTATCGGCATCGGCCTATCTCTGCTGCTTAAGTGTTTATCTGCGAGCGGGAGAGCTGCATATACATTCCTTCAGCGGCATTAAAAGTAAGTATTTTCCAAGTTAGCCTGAATCTATTCTATATCTTAAGTTAGTAAATAAAACAGAGTATAATAATGTATATATACCTGGAAGTAGGCTCCCCCTCTCGGCTTCTTCTCGCTCTTGTCCCAGTAGTAGACGAACGTTTTCGTTTCGCGATCGAAAACGAACCACCTGGAACGCATGAACAGTTTTATGAAACAATCGATTTGAATTTGTAGTGAAATGTCGAAAAAATAAAAGTATTTGGACGCAGGGTCAGGCAGGATGAGGTATATGGTCTCCAAAGATTAACTCGTCGAGTACCGTCAATATAGACACAATTAAAGAACAATAGGTTGCGGTCACCGGTGACCGCTTGGTGTTTGACAGTTTAAATATTATACGGCTTACTCGCGTAACATAACTATAGGCTCTGTCGCGGTCCGAAACTAACCGGGTAGTCTCGTCGAACAGTTACAGGCGTAAGCCGTACAATCTTATTAACTTTGAAATGTCTGTATTTTGATTGATAGATAACATAATATAAGCAATGGTGGCTTACCGTTTGGACCATGTGTGGAACTTGGCGCCGAGTTTGTGAAGGTACCCGCGACAGGAGGTCGGAGTGACCGTCAGATACGGACACACTTCTATTTGGTGACCTGCAAATAAAAAGACATTCACATTAACTTGGTTAGAAATCAGTAGAAACCACAATAGGTTAGATGCCTAATTTTAATTGTAATGTCCGTCTGGTAGATTATTTTAAATCATTAGACACGTATTTTTTATTTTCTTACAGAAACGAATACTTTCGATGATATATTGATTTGAAATGTCGCGTGACGTCACTTCTATGTACATTTTATACGCAGAAATGACGTTTTAGTCCTCATTCGTAAACTTTGATTCGTTTTATCTAAGTAACATAACATAACATAACATCACGCCATTTTATCCCCGAAGGGGTAGGCAGAGGTGCACATTTCGACACTTAATGCCACTGTAACATCCACTTTTCACTATTTATGTTATAAGTCCCATTTAATAGGGGGTGAGCCTATTGCCATATACCGGGCACATTTCCAGACTCCGTGCTACTACTGAGATTTTTAAAAAACCCAGTAATACTTTGCCCGACCCGGGAATCGAACCCGAGACCCCTTGCCCGGCAGTCGCACTTGCGACCACTCGGCCAACGAGGCAGTCATCATCACATTATCTAAGTATTCTTTTAGTATACGACGAAATAAAAAAATACGTGTCTAATATTTTTTCGTTACCTAATTTACGGACTAATTAAATTTTTTAACTTTCATACCCTGTCATCATCCCAAAATATTAAATGATCATTAATCACTATACAGTTCTTGAAAACTGGGCTCTTATCTTGACACCAATACCCTTTAACCATTATATAGTATGTTTCATCTTTTAAAAGTAGGTAATATAAATATTTGTACTGCGGAAAAGTACCTGAGAAACATCACGGAAAAATCATTCACCACGCCTATAATAAGCGCCTATAATAAGTGTGGGAGAGCCATGCTTCGGCATGAATGGGCCGGCTCGACCGGAGTGATACCACGGTCTCACAGAAAACCGACGTGAATCAACGCGTGCGTTGTGTTTCGTCGTGTGAGTGAGGTTACCGAAGGCCCAATTACCCTCTCCTTCCCCAATTCCTGAATCCCCAACGATCTTCAAACTTCTAATCCCTAAAAGGCCGGTGACGCACTTGTAACGCCACTGGTGTTCCAGGTGTCCATGGGCGACGCCGATTGCTTACCATCAGGTGTTCCGTATGCTCGTTTACCGGCTGATGCCATAAAAAAATAAATAAATAAACTACTTTTGTGGATTCTTTGGTGTATTTGTTTGAGAAAACTTGGCGTATAACTTAGTATTGCCTAATAAACTAAATAAATTAAAGTATTCGGCTTACTCACGTAAACTATTTTAGGTATGAAAGCTCTACTAATTAGGTACTTGCCTATTAATCAAATTCAATAGCTTTTTTCAAACTGTCAAAAATGACAGTTTTCTATGAGTTTTGTACGAGATCGTGTATTGTGCCGTCACGTTTTTTTTAGCGTCAAACAGCATAGGTATATAAACGCCTATTTCTTAAAAATTGGCTGGAATATACCTACTAAAATTGAGTTAGTCATAAAATCAATAAATGAAAGTGTGACTATTTTTTAATATTTTATTGTATTAAACATTCGAAATAATTTATTTTTGATTAAGGAAAGTACCCAATTCAAGTCCCACATTACATCGATAGCCTGTAAGTGGCGAGACCTCTTGCCCGGCAGTCGCACTTGCGACCACTCGGCCAACGTGGCAGTCATATTCATGAGCAGCCAATGGGAGCTACCGTTTTTTACTTACCAGATGGAGCTCTTTTTGACTCAGCGTCCCAACATCGAACATACAATCTTTGACATCTACATTGATTGGACATACTGAGTGAGTCGTGAGTAAGCCGTATCTATAGTATCTTTCAATTTATTTAGATAAATTATGTCTACCGACAGTAAAAAGTGTACGAACCAGCAGATTCGACATGTCTCCTGAGATCGAAGTCGTCTCTATCGACAGGCAGGTACCGCGTCAAAGGGCGCTGGGACTCGCTGTACGGCGCCACGCCGCGTCGACTGCGCCGCGGAGCTGAACTCAGTGATACTGTGAAAGATGCATTAGATATTAGTTAGATACGTCTAGACCAAACGTACAGTTTATTGGCAAGAAAAAAAGAAGAAATGCCATATATACTTTTCTATTGATTCTCTTTTAAATCAAACAAATGCGACTACCGATTATGAAATTACTCAAATGTAAAACAAGTGAAAAAACTGAAAAACGTGAATTTATTTTTGCAAATAAGCTGCAAGGCACCACTTTAACATGTTAGTTTTATCAAGGGAACGAGGGTGATATTTCCTAACTAACTACTCCGAGAAGAACTGTCAAAACCAAGTCAGTGTAACGTACAAATTGAATAAGGATTTTTATATACCATCCGCTCGTGTCATTCCACGTTGGACTCCCCTCTATATTAGAGGGTGTGGTACAATCTGTACGCTTAGCAAAAAAGTTGGACATTAAAGCTTAAGTGTGGGAGAGCCATGCTTCGGCACGAATGGTCCGGCTCGACAAGAGTACGATACCATACTACCACGGTCTCACAGACAACCGACGTGAAACAACGTTTGTATTGTGTTTCGTCGTATAAGGTTACCGGAGACCCAATTATCCTCCCCCCTCATCCCCAATCCCTGAATCCCCAACAATCCTCAAATTCCTAATCCCCAAAAGGCCGGTAACGCACTTGTAGCGCCTCTGGTGATCAAGGTGTCCATGGGCGGCGCCGATTGCTTACTATCAGGTGATCCATCAGCTCTTTTACCAGCTTATCCCATTAAAAAAAGATCGCAGTTTGAAAGTCTTAGGTTTATCAGAGAGCTGTGCTGTTAGGCCTTTAGTTGGCTTTTATTTTCAGAACACATATATAGTCATATATATAGTTTGAGAGTCTTATTATACCCGTTGTAAAAGTGGGGGCGAGTAGTGTATTCTACCTACTCTGAAAACAATAAATAGCACTTAAAGATGATTTTATTAAGTACTTACGGATATTATCCCTGCTGAAATCCGATGCATGACTGAGCGGCCGGCTGTCGTCGCTGCGTTTGTCGTCTTCTGTCGATTCAGTGCGCGAATTCCTTACTTGGAGCTGTGGACAAACAAACATACAAAGTTTAGTATATTTTTGGTTATAATAGTGAGACAGTTTTGACGGAGAAGTATAGAAAAGTGATAAGTAAGAAAATGTATTGAGACGTTTTAGAAGATTTAAAGAAGAAGAAAAAGAAGAAGAAGTCGTTTTTAAATTTATTTTCTATTTAATGAATTTAATATTAATATTTTTTTAAATTTATTTTCTTAACAAAACATTGCCCCACACTAGGATTTTCTCTTGTGTCGTGGGAGCATTTACAAACATACAATATCACATACACATGACACGTAGACCAGAAACAACAATTTGTGGATCACACAAAAAGTTGCTCCGTGTGAGAATCGAAGTCGCTACACGTTGCGTGGCAGCAAAATTGCCCAGCCGCCGCGCCAACCGAGCAGTTAAACAAAACAATTTCGATTCACATAACAGCATTTTTCATTTAAATGAAATCCGCGTTTGTCTGGGACAAGGGGTTTTAGGGAACAGAGAGTATAATTCCCTAAGATCGGAAAAGGAGGATCCTCCGACCAGGCGAGATGCTCGTGCCTGGCGGGTTTACTGCCCAACAGTTGTTCGGTTTGATTTTCTATCCATGTTTATTTGATTTTAAACTTTACATGAGCGATGTAGGATTTCGTGACGACATCCGTCGATTTGTTTTCATCGATATTTGACGTGTGATTTGTGTCGCCACAGGGGCAAACTTCTAGATGGGTCATCGGATGGTAAGTGATCTTGGAACACCATCAACAACCGTAATACAAAGGAGTTCCAAATGCGTTGGCTTTTGTGGAAACAGAACGGTTAGCTGCCAATAGAAGACAGACTTTTAACTTCATACGAAAAGAAAACATAGTAAGCATCTCGAAATAATCTTTCATATTATTTTATGTTTACCAGGTAATGTTTAGGCGTTGTGTTAAAAATAGTGCATTGTTTTCTTGCGACTATATTTAATTTAGAACTCTGGTACAACGTGTCGGTGAACTGGATTGAAAGGAGCAGCGTGGGGTTAAACACCTTCAAAATAGGCGTGTTTTCAAACTGGTAATCTCGATAGACGAAATTGTTTTTTATGGGATAAGCCGGGATATGAGCAGACAGATCACCTGGTGATAAGCAATCGGCGTCGCCCATGGACACCTGGAACACCAGAGGTGTTACAAGTGAATTTGATGATAGTTGGGGATTCAGGGATCGCCCCGTTCAGGCCGGCTCGACTGGAGTGATACCACGGCCTCATAGAAAAACGACATGAAACAACTCGTGTTGTATTTCGTCGTATAAGTAAGGTTACTGGAGGCCCAATTAATACCCCCCCCCCCC